CGGGGTCAGAAGCCAGGAGGAGTCTTAGCCAAAGCAGAGTCGGTATCCAGGAGAGCAAAGAGTTAACTGAACAGGAGCTTGTTGCTGTGCAACTGACAGGACACGAATGCAATGGACAGCTGCAAATAGCAGATTTAAATATTATAAGCCGCCACCTCCTGGGAGGAGCCGCAGAGGGCTGAAAGCATATAGGATCCCACAATGCTTTGCAGACCTAAGATGGATGCCAGCACATGGAGCAGCACAACTCCTGAGGAAAGGTAGGACCTTGATAGTACCTCCTCCTCAAGGGCCCCTCCCCCTCCGCGGCTCAACATAAGGGCACCCGAAGATTGAGGTTACGAGTGGACAACCACACCTGATCTCCGACCAGGTATGAAGGAGCGAGCAACCGTCTATGATCAGCCTGGAGCTTCTGGCGCTGTGCTGAGTCCTTCAAGGACCTCTGGATCTGCCCCCATGAAGAACGCAGGGCAACAAGATGGTTCTCCACAGCCGGAATGTCCTGTGGCGAGAACAACTCAGGCAATACAGCGGGTTGGAACCCATAGTTGGCCATGAAGGGAGACATCCCGGAGAAGGAGTTGACAGCCGAGTTCCTCGCAAACTCTGCCCATGGCAGGAGATCAACCCAATTGTCTTGATGGTCAGAGATATAGCAGTGAAGGAATTGTTCCAGGGCCTGGTTGGAACGCTCCGCAGCCCCATTGGACTGTGGGTGGTAGGCCGAAGAGAAGGACAGCTTGATACCCAACTGGGAGCAGAAGACGCGCCAGAACCTGGACACAAACTGGCTGCCACGGTCCGAGACAATCACCTTAGGCAACCCATGCAAGCAAAAGATCTCCCTGGCGAAAACCGTAGCCAGTTCTTGCGCAGTCGGCAATTTCTTGAACGGAACACAATGGCACATCTTGGAGAAACGATCAATGACCATAAGAATGACCGTATGGCATTGAAACGCAGGGAGGTCCACAATGAAATCCATGCCCAGGTGTGACCAGGGACGCTCCCCATTGGGAATGGGTTGCAGAAGGCCAAATGGAAGATGCCGAGGAGATTTATTCTCTGCACAGACAGAACATGCCGCTACATATGAGGCGATGTCGGAACAGAGAGATGGCCACCAGAATAGACGAGAAATGACCCAGGAAAACTGTTTCTTCCCCGGATGACCGGCAGTCTTGGAATTATGGCAGGTACGCAGCAGGCGGGTACGAAATCTCTCAGGTACGAAACATCTACCAGCCGGTCTCTCAGAGGGAGCATCAGTTTGAGCCGCCAAAATCTGCTCCCCAAGGGAAGAAGTCAGGCTGGTACAAATGGCAGCCAGGATCTGATCCGGAGGTATGACCGAGGTCGGCTCAGAGTCCTCCCTGGAAAGCTCAAAGTATTGCCGCGACAAGGCATCAGCCTTGACATTCTTGGAGCCAGGCAAATAGGAGACCACATAGTTAAAACGTGACAAGAACAGAGCCCATCTGGCCTGACGGGCGTCAACCTCTTAGCCTCCGAGAGATACGTCAGGTTCTTGTGGTCAGTGAGAATGAGGACCGGAACCGCAGAACCCTCGAGCAGGTGCCTCCATTCCTTGAGAGCCTGAATAATGGCCAACAACTCCCTGTCTCCAATCTGGTAGTTTCATTCTGCGGAGGAAAGCTTCCTGGAGTAGAAACCATAGAGAAGTAGGGGTCCATCGGGCGACCGACGCTGAGACAGGAGGGCGCCTACTCCCGTCTCAGATGCATCATCCTTGAGGACAAAGGGCAACCCAGGATTGGGATGAGACAGTATTGGAGCCGAAGTGAAGGAAGGCGGATTTCAGAGCTTTGAAAGCTAAGATGGCCTTGGATGACCACTCGTGGAGATTACTGCCCTTCTTGGTCAGATCTGAGAGAGGCTTGGCCAGCGTGGAGAAGTTCCTGATAAACTTCCAATAATAGTTGGCAAATCCCAAAAAGCGCTGAATGGACTGAAGACCACTGGGACGAGGCCACTGCAGAACCGCCGAAACCTTCTGAGGGTCCATGGAGAATCCCACAGCAGAAATGATGTAACCTAAAAAGGCAACCTGGGATCAGTGAAATTCACACTTCGAGCTTACAGAAAAGCTTGTTCTCACGTAACCATTGCAGCACCCGCTTGACATTCTGGATATGAGACTCCATAGACGCAGAGTAAACCAGGATGTCGTCCAAGTAAACCACCACGCACTGCTGCAACAAGTCACAAAAGACATCATTAATGAACTCCTGAAAGACCGCGGGCGCGTTACACAACCCGAAGGGCATAACCAGGGATTCATAGTGGCCGGTTCTGGTGTTGAACGCGGTCTTCCACTCGTCGCCCTCCTTGATCCGTACAAGGTTGTATGCAGCCCTAAGGTCGAGTTTTGTAAAGACCGTTGCTCCCTTGAGGCGTCGAACAACTCGGTAATCAACGGAATTGGGTAAGCATTCTTAATCGTGATTCGATTGAGACCCCTATAATCAATGCAAGGCCTCAATTCACCGCCCTTCTTTTTCACAAAGAAAAAGCCAGCTCCTGCTGGGGAAGTAGACTTGCGAATGTGCCCCCGGGAAAGCGCATCCACAACATACTCCTCCATGGCCTGATTCTCTGCAACCAAAGAGGATACACCCTGCCACGAGGAGGAGTGGCACCGGGTTGCAAGGCTATGGCACAATCGTACGGACGATGAGGAGGCAGAGCACCGGTGCGGACCTTATCAAACACGTCCAGGTACTCCCCATAGTCAGTGGGCAACACAGAGTCCAAGGAGGCACACAACACCTTAACAGGTCCAGGGATGCAACCGGCCCCACACTGTGGAGACCACTAGAGAATCTCGGCCGACCGCCAATTAAAAGTCGGATTGTGCTTCTGAGGCCAGGGATATCGCAAAACCACGGAGTAGTACGGAGAGAAGAAATTACCTGGAAACAGGCCAACTCCCTGTGAACAGCCCCAATAGCTACTTTAACCGGCAGGGTCTTGTGGGAAACCTGCGGCGGTTGCAGGGGCCTGCCATCTATTGCCTCGAGAACCAATGGAGTAACTCGAGCCTGCAGAGGAATGGAGTACTGAGCAGCAAACGAATTGTCCATAAACAACATGCCAGCACCAGAGTCTACCAACGCCTGGGCCGTCACCGAGCCTTCCGTCCAAGAGAGGACAACGGCGATTAGCGGTTTATCTTTGCAGGACACCAGGGACGAGGAAACTCCACCCAAGATCTGCCCCCGACAGGATCTCAGGTGCAAGCGTTTCCCGGACGGACCGGACAGGACTGCCGAAAATGCCCACCGAGACCACAGTACAGGCAGCGACCCTCCCGACGCTGAGAGGCCCGCTCCCCCTCGGAAAGGCAAGTAAACCCCGGCTGCATGAGCTCACCGCCGGACAAGCCATCCCCAGGAGCCGTGGGAGGAGAGGGAGGAACGGGTGGGACAGAAAACGTAGGCGCCAATCGGTTAGGAGGCCTCCGCAAACGCTCCTTAAGTGAAGGCCTCTCCCTGAGCCTGGTATCAATCAGAATTAGGAAGGAAATGAGTGCTTCGAGCTCCACAGGAATTTCTTTGGCTGCAATCTCGTCCTTCAACGCATCTGAGAGACCATGAGAGAAAGCAGCAACCAGAGCCTCATTGTTCCAACCCACCTCTGCCGCCAGGGTACAAAATTCTATGGCGTACTCGGCAACGGTCCGTGAACCCCGATGCATGAACATGAGCAGCTTGGCAGCAGAGGCGGAGGGAGCAGGCACATCGAATACCCTACGGAAGGAGGCAACAAAACCGGCAAACTCGTGAATCACTGGGTTATCATTCTCCCATAAGGGATTTGCCCAGGCCAAAGCCTTGTCCGAGAGCAGCGGGATTAGGAAGCCCACCTTTGACCTCTCAGTAGGAAAAGCGTGGGCTATCAACTCAAAATATATGCCCACTTGGTTAAGGAAACCCCGACACTGACTCGGCTCACCCCCAAAGCGCTGTGGAAGGGGGGCTGAACCAGTCATACCTGGTGCAGATGCAGAGGTAGGTGCAACAACCGGAGCAGCAGCTGGAGTTACCACAGGAGTGACAACCGGCCTAATTGCACCAGGAGCAAGGAGTGCTGTGCATGCAAGCAGCGTCTGCAATGCATGAGCGAACTGATCCAACAAGAGATCCTGCTGATCAAGTCTGGCAACCAACATAGGGAGCGAGGGCGTACCTGCACCGTCAGTGTCAGGAATCAAGGAGTGACCAGAAAGGTGTGGACTGACACAGGGAAACGCAGGTAATATAATACAGTTTATTATTAGCCACCCAGATATATATCTATATAAACGCAGTGAGCAAACCAACCTTCCACTAATCTTTAGGAGGTGCAGGAACACCGGCGTAGTCAGGGCTGGAGAGGTGGAACGGTCAGGCCGGCCGTAGGGTTCTGTAATGACCGTTTGGTGGTACCTCTAGCGGTCCTCAGGGCAGGATTCCCCAGGGCGCGGAGTCTAAGCCCCAGTCTGCCTTTTCACCAGAGCCCCTGATGGTGGGGATGGACTTGGCGCAGGACTGAGACCAGGTCGCGGCCCCCGAGTACACCTGCTAGTGGTAGGGGGATCCGCCAGAGGTATGTGCAGGTACGGCTGGATCCGTGCAGGATGGATGGATGGCAGAGTAGTTAGCGTGGTCAGACAAGCCGGGTCGGTAACGGTGGAGGCAGATCAGTACAGAGCAGCAGGCAAAGAGTAAACAGGTCACAAGCCAAGGTACAGCAACAGGTGGTCAAACAGCATAGGAGTAGGCAGAAGAATAGTCAGGGATGAGCCAGTAGTCAGAACAGGAGACGGTCACCAGAGATCAGGATCAAGCCGGGTCAGCAACGAAGCAGGAACACAGGATACAGGTACAGAGGCTCATGGGAAACCATACACCAAGGCCCAGAGCACAGGCCTGGTCATGCCTTATATACACCTTTCTGTAATCAGCCCCAGGTTTGGCTGATTGTGAGCTTCTGGCTGCTAAAGAGCACCCGCTGGTCAGCTCTGGTACTGCAGCCCACACGGCTGGTGAGTCCCACCACCAGTGCTGAGTCCATTGCTGAGAGCACCCGCTGGTCAGCTCTGGTACTGCAGCCCACACGGCAGGCGAGTCCCACCACCAGTGCTGAGTCCATTCCTGACAGTACCCCCCCCCCCCTCAAGGAGCGGCCTCAGGACGCTCCAGACAGTCCTTAGTGGGCAAAATGTTCCACCACCCGGGTCAGGTAACTGGCTGAATATCCAACTGCCGGAGTAAACCGGCTGGCTGGGTTTCCTGCTGGTAGACTTCTCTTTGCGTAGGAGAACCCAGGAAGGCAGGTCACTGGGCACAAGATTTCCAGGAGTAGGCTGGGAATCAGTTATTGGCCAGTTTAGCTGGACATCAGGGGCTGGCATGTCGAGCTGTGCAGCGGGCAGAGGCACGTCAGCGGGCAGCTGGCACGGCACCGAGTCATCTGGCACGACAGCGGGCACCAAGCCATCTATCAGAACCGCGGGCACAGAGTCACCTGGCAAGTCAGCGGGCACCGAGTCACCGGGCATGTCAGCGGGCACCGAGCCATCTAGCAGAACCGCGGGCACAGAGTCACCTGGCAAGTCAGCAGGCACCGAGTCACCGGGCATGTCAGCGGGCACCGAGCCATCTAGCAGAACCGCGGATACCGGGTCACCAAGCTCGACAACAGGCACCAAATTAACTGGCACAACAGTGGGCACTGAATCAACTGGCACGACAGCGGGCACCAAGTCATCAGGCATCAGGTCATGTGGCTCAACAGCAGGCACTGGGTCCTCAGGCATCAGGTCATCTGGCTCGACAGCGGGCACCGAGTCAACTGGCACGACAGCGGGCACCGAGTCATCAGGCATCAAGTCATCTGGCTCGACAGCGGGCACCGAGTCAACTGGCACCGAGTCAACTGGTACGACAGCGGGCACCGAGTCAACTGGCACGACAGCGGGCACCGAGTCATCAGGCATCAAGTCATCCGGCTCAACAGCGGGCACTGAGTCAACTGGCACCGAGTCAACTGGTACGACAGCGGGCACCAAGTCAACTGGCACCGAATCATCAGGCATCAAGTCATCTGGCTCGACAGCGGGCACTGAGTCAACTGGCACCAAGTCAACTGGTACGACAGCGGGCACCGAGTCAACTGGCACCGAGTCAACTGGCACGACAGCGGGCACCGAGTCAACTGGCAGGATGGTACAGTACGAGTGGGAGTAGGGTACCGACATGTGGCAGATTGCTGGGTATACTGGGCTGTCACTGGGGGGGCTGTCACTGGGGGTGCTGTCGGGAATGCAGGAAAAGAGCTTTGAGCAGAGGAATGATGAGAAACAGGACTGGTTCGTTGCAAGCTGATTGAGGCTGGGTGTAACAAGTCTGACCATGTCTGCAGTAAGGGTTGGACAACGCTCCGCTTACACAAGGCCTGTCTGGTCAAAGTTTGCACTGCGTTTATACACTTCTTTAGCACATGTGGTGAACATGCTGAATAATGCTCCAAGAAGCAATCCGGATCATCCTCCAACAACCATACCAGTGATATTATTTGACTCGCCCTGAATGGAGGAAGAAATTCATCCCTGCTTTCAGGGGTACTAGATGAAGCCAACTCAATACAAGCCTGAATCAATGGTTGCACCTCAGAGAGCTCTAGGTCCTGACCTACTAGGGAATGAGCAACCCGTATGCACTCTAGCAGCTGATCCCGGGTATACTCGTGCAGAGTCTGATAGGCATATTCCCTGTCATCAAAGACTAGCATAGACAAATATATAACCTCATCAGGATGCATCCTTCACAACAAGTCAAGATGGCTTCCCTGTGCAGCCACTTCTGGTCAGGAAAGGCCTTGGTGTGATGTCAGGAATCAAGGAGTGACCAGAAAGGTGTGGACTGACACAGGGAAACGCAGGTAATATAATACAGTTTATTATTAGCCACCCAGATATATATCTATATAAACGCACAGTGAGCAAACCAACCTTCCACTAATCTTTAGGAGGTGCAGGAACACCGGCGTAGTCAGGGCTGGAGAGGTGGAACGGTCAGGCCGGCCGTAGGGTTCTGTAATGACCGTTTGGTGGTACCTCTAGCGGTCCTCAGGGCAGGATTCCCCAGGGCGCGGAGTCTAAGCCCCAGTCTGCCTTTTCACCAGAGCCCCTGATGGTGGGGATGGACTTGGCGCAGGACTGAGACCAGGTCGCGGCCCCTGAGTACACCTGCTAGTGGTAGGGGGATCCGCCAGAGGTATGTGCAGGTACGGCTGGATCCGTGCAGGATGGATGGATGGCAGAGTAGTTAGCGTGGTCAGACAAGCCGGGTCGGTAACGGTGGAGGCAGATCAGTACAGAGCAGCAGGCAAAGAGTAAACAGGTCACAAGCCAAGGTACAGCAACAGGAGGTCAAACAGCATAGGAGTAGGCAGAAGAATAGTCAGGGATGAGCCAGTAGTCAGAACAGGAGACGGTCAACAGAGATCAGGATCAAGCCGGGTCAGCAACGAAGCAGGAACACAGGTACAGAGGCTCATGGGAAACCATACACCAAGGCCCAGAGCACAGGCCTGGTCATGCCTTATATACACCTTTCTGTAATCAGCCCCAGGTTTGGCTGATTGTGAGCTTCTGGCTGCTAAGAGCACCCGCTGGTCAGCTCTGGTACTGCAGCCCACACGGCTGGTGAGTCCCACCACCAGTGCTGAGTCCATTGCTGAGAGCACCCGCTGGTCAGCTCTGGTACTGCAGCCCACACGGCAGGCGAGTCCCACCACCAGTGCTGAGTCCATTCCTGACAGTCAGGATTCATGGCATTCGTGTAGTGTCAGGGAGCAAGGAGCCAGACACACAAGGAGGTGCAATTAAAGGTAGGTTTATTACACAGAAACAAGGCAAGAGTCTATGCAAGTCCGACAGCAACAGCAGATGACTTGGTAGGACAGAAGTTCTCCTGCCGAGGTCGTCTTCCAGGATAATCAAGTCGAGAACCAGCGGGAATTGTAGCCAAAGCCGGGGTCAGAAGCCAGGAAGAATGGTCGCCAGAGCCAGAAGCCAGGAAGAATGGTCGCTAGAGCCGGGGTCAGAAGCCAGGAGGAGTCTTAGCCAAAGCCAAGTCGGTATCCAGGAGAGCAAAGAGTTAACTGAACAGGAGCTTGCTGCTGTGCAACAGACAGGACAGGAATGCAATGGACAACTGCAAACAGCAGACTTAAATGTGATAAGCCGCCACCTCCTGGGAGGAACCGCAGAGGGCTGAAAGCATAAAGGATCCCACAATGCTTTGCAGACCTAAGATGGATGCCAGCATATGGAGCAGCACAAGCCCTGAGGAAAGGTAGGACCTTGATATGGAGACTGACAGTTATTTTCTTTCTTTCATTTGCGAATGATTGCACCAACTGTTGTCACCTTTTCACCAAGCTGCTTGGCGATAGTTTGGTAGCCCAGTTCAGCCTTGTGTAGGTCTACAATCTTGTCTCTGAAATCCTTGGACAGCTCTTTGGTCTTTGCCATGGTGGAGAGTTTGGAATCTGATTGTTTGATTGCTCCTGTGTACAGGTGTCTTTTACAAAGGTAACAAAATGAGATTAGCAGCACTCCCTTTAAGAGAATGTTTCTAATCTCAGCTTGTTATCTGTATGAAAGACACCTGGTAGTCAGAAATCCTGCTGAATGATAGGGGATCAAATACGTATTTCCCTCATGAACATGCAAATCAGTGCATTAGTTGTTAGACATGCATTTCTTTTGAAATTGTTGTTGCTATTCTGTCTCTCAGTGTTACAATACACCTACCATTCGATTTTTAGACTGATCATTTCTTTGTGAATGGGCAAACATTCAAAATCAGTGGGGGATCAAATACCTATTTCCTTCACTGTATATGACAATGCCCATTGAAGTTATAGGGGATATTTGCATTCCCTGTGAAAGCATTAAAAGTGATAAAAAAATTAAAGGGACAGTGTAAAATAATTAAAAAAAATCAAAATAATGTAAAAGAAAAAAAAAGAGCACCCTCACCCCCCTCGTGCGCACACCCGTGTGCACGAGCGTTGACCCTGTACCAGTATGTAAATAGCGGTTGCACCATGCATGTGAGGTATCGCCACGAACATCAGATCAAGGGCAGTAATTGCAGCACTAGACCTTCTATGTAAATCTTCTATGTTTATTTTTTTACCACTAGTTTTTGGAAAACGTAAAAAAAAACCCAACTTTTTTTTTTTTTACACAAAATTGTCACTTAAATGATGTATTGCTCACACATGCCATGGGTATATGTGGAATTACTCCCCAAAATACATTCTGCTACGTCTCCCAAGTATGGGGGTACCACATGTGAGAGACTTTTTGGCAGTCTAGCCAAGTACAGGACCCCAAAATCCAATAAGCACCTTCAGGCTTATCCAATAAGCACCCCCCAAAATTACCCTTTTTTGGAAAGTAGACACCCCAAGGAATTTGATAAGAAGCATAGTATTTTGCAGATCATTTTTGTTGCCACAAGTTTTTGGAAAATGAAGAAAGAAAACAAAAACAATTTTTTATTTTCCTTTTTTATATTTCAAAACCTTGTGAGAAAAAAATAAGATCTGCAAAATACCTAAATTCCTTGGCGTAACTAATTTCCAAAAAGGGGTCATTGGGGGGGGGGGGGGGGGGTTGGGGATTGGTGCTATCCTGGCATCTCAGGGCCTCCGAAACTGTGATATGAAAGGAAGTTACGCACTTTCAGGCTTTCAGAGTGGTCATTGATTTCAGGCTCCTGTATGTGGCTAGGCTCCCAAAAAGTCTCACACATGTGGTAGAAGTAGCAGAATGTATTTTAGGGTATAATTCCACATATACCCATGGCTTGTGTGAGCAATATAAAATGTAAATGACAACTTTGTGTAAAAAAAAAATTATATATTTTTGTCATTTTCCATAAACTGGTGGAAAAAATAAATCTTCCATGGACTCAATATGCCTCTCAGCACATAGCTTAGGGTGTCTACTTTCCGAAAAAGGGTCATTTGGGGTGTTTGTACTGTCCTGGTATTTTAGCACCTCAAGAAATGTGATGGGCAGGCAGAAAGTAAAAGCTGTGTAAATTCCATTATCTATAGCATAGTTTGTAGACACTATAACTTTCACACAAAACAATCAATATACACTTATTGGGATTTTTTAACCAAAAACAAGATCACAAGGGCAGTGCATTGTGAATGCGGGGCTGCGTTTTAGTGTGAACAGGGGTTTCAGTTGTGCTTAAATAGCTGACTTATACTCTGTTTGGGCCAGCCATTGTGGTCCGCCCACTCCAATAACACTGTGCTGCCTGACTCTGAGATGCAAGAAGATGTAGATGCTGCTGGCTTTTCATCTTTGGCGGGTCCGGCTTCACTGCACAGAGGCCTTGTTATAATCTTCCTTAATGTTTGTATGATTAACCCTTTCTGCTCTTCAGGCTGACTACAGGCAGTTCAGATGCAAGTGTACTGTTTTTTACCTGATAAATGATGCTATTTCACTGATTCTACGCCCTTGCTGCTTTGATCTTTAACATGCACATGCATGGATCAATCACAGATCTAATAGAGGAGCTGCAGGATACATGTTCATCTCATCTAGCCACTACCGTTAGGAACTTTAGGACTCTTTGCACAGACCTGTCAGATTGAGCGCCAAACTGTTTTATGTGCACATTGTATATAAAGTGCTGTGTTACTGTATCCATCCTGATTGGTTTGCTTTTATGTGACGAGCCCAGATACTGACACTGTGCAAAAGTCTGTTCCAGGGACCTAATCCTTATATTAAAAATGAGAGCTGAAAATGAGCAGAGAACAGGTGTTGTGACTAATAGGAACCAATCAGATTTTACTGTTTTGACTGTGTTGACCATTCTTTTGGGGACACGTTAGATTTCTGTATTCCATTTCCTTTTATTTTCATAACGGTTTGCAAATCAGATGTTCTTTGTAATATATTTGCATGTTTTGTATTGCAGTCTTCTACGCTTTACAATACTAAAATGCAGAATGAATCCTTGAATGATTTAATGTTCTGTAAGCACAATGCTAGTTACACATGTGCTGACCCTGCTGTCACGAGAAACCTTTTTTGTTTCAAGTTTGATTTACCTGAGTGCCACATTGGTAAATTCGTTAACTGCTGGACAGCACAGTTTGTGGCTATTGAGCACAAGGATTGTGGAAAGTCTATGTAGAAGCCTTGGAGGTTCAAGTAGATAACCTGAGCAATATGCATGCTTAGCCCTGTAGTAAGTCACATGGCTCAGTTTGTGTATGTGGACATGTCATGTTGCATTTATTTGCCAGTGTGTAGATACATTTTCATGAATGCTTTTAACCAATCCATGACAGTGTATTTCAGTCAAAGTTATTAAAAAAATGCAAAACCTTAAAGCTGATCTCCAGGTATGGATTTAATTTGCAGAGATATATTGATCCATATTGGACTAATGAAAGTAAGCAAATGCCATACCTTATGGATCTGTGTGGAAGTTGGAAAACACTGTAGTAGTCAATGCTACTATAGGATTGCCGCTGTTATGCAAGACGTTCTCTGATTGGGCATAGTGGAGTGGCAGAGCAGTGACATCAGGATCTCTACGCCATCCAGACAAGCACTATGTTGCATTCATTGAGAAAAATGCAAGGCATTCTGTGAATGTCACCTATGTCTAGCAAGCAATCCCTTGTGGTTACTATACAACAGGGTCGTCGCTCAGCACGGAACCTAGAAGACAGCAGCGATGCAATCACTGTAGTATTGTTAAATAATACAGTGGTTCTCTGCTTCCACATCAGTCCCATATGTATGAAATATGCAAACTTACACTGGTCCAATGCAAATATGCAAAAAAATTCACACCTGGAATTCAGATTAATTATCCCACACAAAGAGCGATAACATCTTTTATATCTCCATCTTTACCTAGTCACTTTTAAGCAGCAGGCCAATGAAATTATTAAAAAAGTGACAGCTTGTACGAGAACTTTTTTGCTCGAGTACGGCTGTACGGGACTCCGCCCACACGGCTGTGTCATTCATTCACAAGGTGCTGTGAATGAACTACAAGTCCTGACAGCCTTAGCGGCTGTCGGCTTGTAGTTCTCAATTAGCTACCACAGCACACTGTGGTAGTTCATTCATTCTTCCTGTCTGTATATCTGCTTACCCATACATCCAGTGCGAGCAAGCAGATATAATGGTCTGCAGAAGACCTGCTTAGCACCAGTGATCTGCTGATTGCTGGTGCACTGGTTTACAGGCTGCTGTAACCAAAAATAAATGCTTATTTTTTTACCTGCATTTATTATTTTTGATCAACAAGTGAACGTTTCCTTTAACCACCTCCCATCTGGCCGTTGTATATAAATGGCCGGACGGTGGCAGTGCAGGGTCGGGTGGCCGTTTTATAAACGGCCTCCCCGCCCCCTGCTTGTGCACGCTCCCTGGGAGCGCACAGCACCGCGATGCGGTGCCCACTGTGTCCTCCAGACACAGTGGAACACCGATCGTCGGACAGGACCTCTGTACGAGGCCTCGATCATGTGATCACTGATTGGCCAATCGGTAATCACATGCAGAGTAGTAAGCAAGATGTCACTTGTGACATCATTGCTTACTACGTGTGAAATCTGTGAATGATCACAGAGGTCACATGGTACAAGGCTATTCACAACAGCCTTGTACCATGTGAAAAGCTGTGACCAATCACAGCTCACTCAGTAGTTCTCAATGGCTGCAAGAATGCAGCTAGAGAGAATGAGAAATGATTGCTTTTACATCCTTTATGTGTGTAAAAGCAATCAGTGTAAAGAAAAAAAAACAAAAACTTCATCACCCCCCACAAGTAGTACAGTGTCACCATGGTGACACTGTACTGCTAGGGTGACAGTATGTATAACCAAAAATTATAATTTTTAAACATTTGTTTTTACATTTTATTAAAAAAATTTTTATATTATTATTTTTTTTTTTTTTAACTAATTTGGGTTATTTTTTTTCTTTACTAAAAATATAACGGAATACATTTTGGCCAAGAATTATAAAATTTTGCAAATAAATAGTATTTCATCATAAGAAAAACACTTTTTTTCAAACTTTTTGGACTTTTTAATTTACATAGCAAAAAAAAAATGAAATCCCAGTGGTGAATAAATACCACCAAAAATAAAGCTTTATCTGTCTCAAAAAAAATGCTAAAAAATTCATATGGGTACATGACTGCGCAATTGTCATTCAAAGTGTGATAGCGCTGAAAGCTGAAAATTGTCCTGGACAGGAAGGGGGGTAAAAGTGTCCAGACTGGAAGTGGTTAAAGAACAAGTGCATAATTATGTCATGCCTTATAACGGATTCAGTAAAAACAATGACAAAAAAACTAAGGTTTCTGTACAGCTTATACCATCACTGAAGTGCATGCAATCATGTACAAAAGGAACTGAATAGACAGAATACATGCACACACACGAGCAGACACATCAGTGTACAGTCACATCTAAAGAGATGCAAGGATGCCTTTATTTAAATCTAAATGCAGAAAACTTTTTTCATGCTGAACATTATCAGGAAGCAGCAGATTTGAAGACCCTGCATTATGGCATTGCAGCCCCAAAATGACTGCAGGAGATAATATGTAGATTATATTTTCAAAACAGTTTGATTGGATTGGACATATTAAAGGAGCTAATGTGTTTTTAAAATGCACCTTTCTTTACATTTCCATGATGAAGATGTATTCTACACATTAAATACTGATTTTTTTTTTTAAATGCATTTAATACACGAGTTGAAACCTTTCATCTAAGGCATCTTATACTTAAGATATGAGGCTTTGCAATTGCAACCTCTGTGCCTGATTCTTAAGCAATATGCACTAATGTATGATGTCACACCAACCTACACATTGCTCCTAAAACAGTAATTTTAGAAGGCTAACATTTCAACAGAGTAACATTAGTGACAGCGAAACATGAACCATATAGTTCTAACCATCAATCATGAACCCCTAGACTAGAGTAACACAAAACATGGCTGAATATTAACAGATTACATATGCAATCCAATAACAAATGCACCCTTCTGCCTACAATACCAGAAGCCACCTATAGGCCACTAGAAGTATAGGAGAAAGAGGTGGTAATAGAACGGTAATAGAACTATTCTCCCAGATGTCCTCAGTTATCATGGAATTACAGGCCTGGCATGTATATTCACATTTCTCATTACCAGCAGGATAATACCATACTGATTATAAAAAAAGGTTAATGATGAAATAAATATCCACGTGGACACAGCTTACAATAACATAATTTCAAAAAAGCAACTTGACACTGAAAGATCTTGCAAAGGATGGTTTATAGGCGCCACTGAAGATACTTAATTGCTGTAAGAATCCATCTGTTGAGGAAGGAAAGATAAAAATTAATTTTGTTTTAGAACATCAGTGAAAGGATTAAATGGAATATAACTGAATCCATTTTGTATACACTAATACAAGATGCTAGTTTAACATATATATGAAATTTGTACACACTAAACAAAACTGTCTATGCCAGCTTCATGTAGAAATGAGTGTTTTTGCAAACTTTACAAAAAAGCACATAAGGTTTACTCTCATTTCTGAAAAGTTTTAACCACAACTTGGGCGTTGGGTCAGATTACAGCCATGGTCTGTATGGCATGATAGATAAAGCAGAAGAGTGAAAATGCAAACCTCATACAAATAATTGTTGAGTTAAGGTAAAAAAATGTACATGTATTTGATTGGATGGTCTGAGGGTGTGTTTGCCCAAAGACTACAGTATAATAACCCTGATGTTATGCCAATAAAACTGAAGTGTTTGCAATTGCACCTGAGGTGACATGAGTGCATTCACTTTCCGAGATCTCATAGCTGTGTCCAGGTGTGACCGTTGGTATCTTTGAGGGGGCCCCCAAGGAACAAAGGAAAAAGACCACCTACCTACTTTCAATCAGTACAGAAAAAATACTGTACATATCTTTGGTGTGGTCATTTCCAAATGGAAAATTGTGTGGATAGCAACAGCTTGAATGACTGGCTTGATTAAACTATGTGCAATGTCTATTTGCATACATAAGAAATAAGCAGGGGTGGTGTAACATGCCAGACTCATTAGCTGCAACTGGCCTAAAAATGTGTAAATCTTTTAAACAATGCATAAAAAATGAAATCACAAACAGACATGAATATTTATATTATTATTTAGTAATCAGTATATTGTTTTAGTAATATGGGAAAAGTTTTAAAAGTAAAAAAAAACCCACTTTGGCTAGGAAAGGGTGCTTTGGCTTCCTTTAAAAAAAAAAAAAAAAAACAAAAAAAACTGTAATTACAGCTTCTTATTTCTAAGTCTTGCCAACCTAGGACACATTGCTCTGCAGAGAGAAACTGTGTGTTGGCAGTTTTTTTAAGTAAAGACTACTATTTCTTGGGTTTGGCACAAAGCTGGACAGGCTAAGACTGGTTTTATTACTGTGGATAATCTGATAGTGTTTTCAGAGGCTGGATGCACATTAAATTTGGTTGCAGCCACTTTCACACTACTTTGTGGACTCTTAATACCTGTACAAATAGCCCTACTTGCAGAGGTTTACCCCAAGAGATGGCAAAAAGCAATGCTGCTATCATTACAAACTGCACTGGATTTATACTCACCAAACATTCAGGTACTAGCTTTTCTAAATGAGCATATTCATCTGGAGACATTGGTAACAGAGAATCGGCTGTTGCAAGTCTTGACGGGTGTCTAGGACAAAAGGTATGAAAACAATTAGTTTTGTGCCTTAACTAATTTTCAGAAGGGATGGTTAGAACAAAGAAGAAAACAATTAGGTTTATGCCGTAAAAATACATTTAGATATAAAAACTACTCAGCACTATACTTACACTTCAGAAACTGATATTAATTCTGTTTTGATATATCCTGTTGCTTTAGGTCCATCAAGATCCATTGGTTCAGAAACTGTAATAAAAGAAATTAACAATATTTAGATGTATGATGGTCCACATAATGTCACTGCTACAAAAGCACTGCGGCACTTGCCCTCATATAAATCCTGCTCCCACCTCACCTCCCTCATCCTCCTATTACTACTAACTTCTGGAGACATTGCCCCAAACCCTGGCCCTCCACCATCAAACTCCAACCCACAGAAGCAGCAGCCTCCCCTCTCTGGCCGCAGCCGCAACCCTCATTCTCTCATCTCAATTCCCCTGCTTCTACGCACCAACCCCTCCCCCCTATGTGCCCTCTGGAATCCCCACTCAGCCTCTAACAAACTCTCTATCAATGACCTCTTCCTCTCCCACTGCCTCAACCTTTTTGCTATTACTGCAACCTGGCTCCAGGATTCTGACTCTGTCTCCTCAGCTGCACTCTCCCATGGCAGCCTCCTCTGGACTCGCTCGCCCAGACCCAGCGGACGAAAAGGGGGCGGAGTCGGACTTCTTCTTTCCCACACAAAGCACGTTCCAGGTTCTTCCTGCCCCTCCGTCTCTGTCCCTCTGCTCTTTTGAAATGCACTGTATTCGTCTCTTTTCTCCTGTTTGTTTGAGGATCGCTGTCATCTACCAGCCCCTGGGCCCAGTTTCACGCTTTCTCGATGACTTTTCAGCATGGCTACCATATTTTCTCTCTTCTGAGGTGCCTGCCCTCATCCTCGGTGACTTTAACATCTCAGTCAATGTTCACACCCCTGCCACCTCTCAACTACTCAACCTAACTTTCTCTTTTAACCTAACACAATGGTCACAATCCACCACCCACTCCAATGGCAACACCCTTGACCTTGTATTCATCCACCTATGCACTCCCTGTAACCTCTCTAACACCCCTTTTCCTCTCTCTGATCACAACTTTATCAGCTTCACACTCTCCCTGCCTCATGCCTCCAACCAGCAAACCGTTACCTGTAGAACCTCCATCACCTCAGCCCTGACCTTCTCCTCTCCGCTACTGAGCGCCTCTATGATGAAATTGCACCCCTGTCCTGCCCAGAGCTGGCCACATCTGCCTACAACAACTATGTATCATCTTCCCTGGACGCTAAACCAGGCCTCGCCTGTCACAACTCTGGCAAACAGATGACGCCAGAAGTCTCAAGAGACGTAGCCGCACTCTTGAGCGAGCATGGCGTAAAAATAAATCCATGAAAAACTTTACCCTCTACAAATCCGCTCTTCTCAAATACAACTCCAGCCTCCATGCTGCTAAGCAAACCTACTAAAACACTCTCATCAAGACCCTCTCATCCAATCCTCGTCAACTCTTCTCTACCCTTAATTCCTTACTCCACCCCCCACTGCCTCCACCCACCAACTTACTTACTGCACAGGAGATTGCCAGTCACTTCAAGAAGATCGACACAATTCGTGATGAGATCTCCAGTGTCAAGCTTCCTCCTCTAACCAACATACCAGGCCCCACACCAAACTCTACACTCTCCTCCTTCGACCCTGTTACTACCAAGGAAGTTACCGAACTCCTTTCCAAGGCCCACTTCACCACTTGTTCCCTGGATCCTGTCCCCTCACGACTGTTGCAGCCTCCTTCCTGCTCTATCCTAAACGCTCTAACCCACATCTTCAACGTCTCACTCTCCATGGGCACCTTTCCCTCCCCACTCAAACATGCACTGGTTACCCCCATCCTCAAAAAAAACCCTCGTTGGACTCCACCTGTTTGAATAACTTAAGACCCATCTCCCTGCTCCCGTTTGCCTCCAAGCTTCTCGAGTGCCTTGTTCACAACCGTATGAACTGTTACCTCACCGACAACAACCTTCTTGATCCCCGACAGTCTGGCTTCCGCCCACAACATTCCACAGAAACTGCCCTACTAAAATTCACTAATGACCTACTAACTGCTAAAACCTTGACCTTTCCGCTGCCTTTGACACAGTCGACCACCCGCTCCTCCTCAGTAAACTCCACTCCATCAGCCTCCGTGACTCTGCTCTCTCCTGGTTCTTCACTTACCTTTCTCAGCGCACTTTCAGTGTCACATAAAACTCCTCCTCCTCCACTCCGCTTCCTCTTTCTGTTGGGGTACCCCAAGGTTCTGCTCTTGGGCCCCTCCTTTTCTCTCTCTATACCCCCTCCCTGGGCCAACTGATAACCTCCCATGGCTTCCAATACCACCTCTATGCTGATGACACCCAGATCTATCTCTCCACTCCCCAGCTCACCCCCTCAATCTCCTCACGTATCACAAATCTACTAAGCGACATATCAGCATGGATGTCACATCACTACCTTAAACTCAATCTTTCAAAAACTGAGCTTGTAATATTTCCTCCTCCCCGATCCCCCACTCATGACTTTACCATTAAGATCAACAGCACTACCACTGGTCCTTCCCCTCATGCCAGGGTGCTAGGCGTAATCCTAGACTCTGACTTCTCCTTTGGGCCCCACATCCACTCACTGGCTAAATCCTGCCGCCTCAACCTCTGGATCATTTCCAAAATCCACCCCTTCCTGACCAATGACACCACAAAACAACTTATCCACGCCTTGGTTATATCCCGCCTCGATTAATGCAACTCTCTCCTCACTGATCTACCGTTACACAGTCTATCCCCCCTTCAGTCTATTATGAATGCTGCTGCTAGACTTATACACCTTACCAACCAATCAGCGACTGCTGCCCCTCTCTGCCAATCCCTCCACTGGCTTCCACTAACACAACGTATAAAATTCAAAATACTAACCACAGCTTACAAAGCCATCCACAACACTGCCCCTAGCTACATCACCGACCTCATCCACAGATACCGCCAAAATCGCCCACTCCACTCCTCCCATGATATCCACCTCTCTAGCTCCCTCATCTCCTCCCACGCTCGCTTCCAGGACTTCTCCAGAGCCTCTCCCATCCTCTGGAACTCCCTACCACAGCATGTCCAGTTAGCCTCCACCCTGTCTGCCTTTAGGCGATCTTTGAAAACTCACTTTTTCAGGGAAGCCTACCCCACCTCCACCTAAGAACTGTACTTGAATCACCTCCGCCATATCATCCCCCGCAGCTATCACCTTTTGTATCACCTCCCCCTTCATTTAGATTGTAAGCTCCACGAGCAGGGCCCTCCTATTCCTTCTGTACTGAAATGTACTGTAATTGTACTGTCTCCCTTATATTGTAAAGCGCTGTGCAAACTGTTGGAACTATATAAATCATGTATAATAATATTAATGTATGAGGAGTTTCACAGACTTTATCCTCTTTCTTTTCAAGTTTTTTGATGTCTGTACTATGCAATGCTGATTTCCTCACATAACTGTCTCTATCCAGGGCTTGTTCATTTAGGCCCAATACATAGGGCAACTAGGCCGTGTTAAGCCTCAACATTCACAAATTGTGATAAGCATGTTACTATTTTGTTTCTCTTTTCTGCCCACCTCTACATTTGTGGCAAAATTCAGAAACATAACTGTTGGGGAATGAGGTGCAGGGAATGTTGTGACTAGTCAGAAGACTCTATAATTCAAGCAAGCTTCAGTGCTACTCTAAACTTGATACTTGAGCCTGCTGGTAGTTTGTTCAGAGTAAAAATTAGCACTCCCATTATCATCTGTGTTTAACATCCCCCAAAATGGACATGAAGATTGCTTCAGAAGCTTAAGTAAAGCTACTTGAAGCTATCTAAAAGCTTTAAAGCTAAATTCCAGGTTTGGCTTTTTTCATAGTTACACTAGTCCAACATGGAGCAATGTAATTATGCATGGGCCATATACAAGCAGGTAATCACAATAGTAGTCACCACTACTACAGTGATCACCAGTATCTTCAGGGCACCATTCACGAAACAACATGCATCTCTAAATGAATGCAAAGTGTTCTCTGATTGGATGAGGTGGAGATTGTGACATCACCGCTATGCCACTTCACCTTGTTCAGTGAGAGAACACCTAGGATTTATTGAGAAAAATGTGAATGATGCCCATGTTGAGCAAGCGACACCCTGTGTTCACTATGCAGCAGGGAAGCCACTTGGCATGGGACCTGGAAAATAGCGGAGATTATTGTAGTACCGATGGCTAATTTGTTTTGCACAAAGATCCCACAGGCATGACATATGCATACTTACATTAGTCCAAGCTGGAGCAATGTGTCTATGCAAACGGAATTCTCCTTTAACAATGCTTTAAAAAAAGCTTCCTGTACACATCGCTCTTAAAAAAACTAAAGTCCACATGTACAAGGGTGAGATTATAAAACGTTTATAGCTTTGGGTAGTATAATTGGCTCTTGACAGGCTTATGCATACTATATATAAAATATTCAGTTAATAATATTGAGCTTTTGAGAACTCAGTTTTCCTTCTATTTGCAGTGATTAGACTTAAACACTACTAGAGGTTAAACATTTTGGTAAATATAAGAGAACATCCTTTTAGGGAACTTTATGGTTTTATGTTTTTATTTTTTACAGGGTAAAGGCTGATTGTCTGGTCACTGGGGTTGATTTACTAAAATTGAGGAGTGCAAAATCTGCTGCAGCTGTGCATGGTAGCCAATCAGCTTCTAACTTCAGCTTGTTTAATTAAGTTTTGACAATAAAAACCTGGAAGCCAATTGGTTTCTATGCAGAACTGCACCAGATTTTGCACACTCCAGTTTCAGTAAATCAACCCCAATAAGTCATATAAAATATTTTGTACTGGCTGTATATGCATGTTAATATACTGAAATCGCCTTTTGTTTGAGTTGCATGTTTTGGGGGTGCCACCCATAGGGATTGTTTCCAATATTTGAAAAGTGTCATTGAATTGTTAAAGAATATGTTCACCTTTGGAACATGTTCCACCTGTTTTTAGGGTGGAACATGTTCCACCTGTTTTTAGGGTGGAACATGTTCCCATAGCCGCAGCCATGCCTCCTCCCCTCCCCACCTCCCTGACAGATAGTATGGGGAGAAGTTTCCCCCAATCTGAAAACAAAGCGGCCGTGTGACAGCAGTATGGGGAGAAGTTCTCATACAAGCTGTCACTTTTTGAATAGAGTACGGCTGTATGGGCCCACACGGCCGTATCACTCAATCACAGAGTTCCATGAATGAATGCCTACAAGTCCTAACAGCCTTAGCGGGTGTGGGCTTGTAGTTTTCAATGAAATACCACTGTGGAGCGCTGTGCTAGTTCATTGAAGCTTCCTGTCAGTATATCTGCTTGCTCGTACATCCTGTACGGCAAGCAGATATTCTGACAGGTCTGCAGGAGACCTGCATGGCACCAGCTATCTACTGATTGCTGGTGCAATGCTTTACATGCTCCTGTGGACAAAAATAATAAATAATGCACACTTTTTTTTATTTATTAAAAAAATGTGCATTTATTATTTTTGTCCAAAAGGTGAACTTATCCTTTAAAGAAACACAAACTCCCTTGCAATGCACAGCAAAGTGACTGTATCTCTGCAAAGGCCACCCCCTCCCCCACTTACCCTGACCCTTGCCAGCACTCCCTCATCACTCCTTCCTCAGTTGACACTAAAATCAATGGTATCGATGAGCAGTGGAAGTGGAAACAGATGTCATGTGACAATGCCCAGGCCTAGCGATCGGTTGCTAGGCCTGAGCACTGTCACAGGGGAGAGGATCACATGCCCCCCATTCCCTAAAGCAGTAGCAAAGGGGGTTAAAGTAGGGCGGAGAGGGCTTTTGCTCAGACTCTATAATAAAAGACTAAATATTATATACTCATATATACCATCTGTAGGCCTGGAGTAGTATCTTCCAAATGCTACATCTTTTTGTGTGTTTGGATGTAAAAATTTTAGTGGATTTTCAGGAATGTTTTCAGCTGCCATTACTTTATAGTTGCGGATAATGTCTGGAAATGTCACAGCAGAAAGTTCCTTCTTTGTATAAGGCTCCACAGAATGAAATACTGGCTCTGAAATTAGATGAATGGATATAAAAGTAATATTATAGTGTATCATTGCATATCTCATTATTCCCATTGTATTGAAAAAGGAAGTGAATGCCTGAACCAGACATCGAGGTAACCACCTATATACAGTGTATGTTTACCAGCAGGTACATTATTATTATTAACTTTCATGTTGTGTGTTTAAAGTTAATATAGCCTTCAAGTTAGTTTTTTCTTATATATTTGAGGTCTGATCAGTAAAGTGTTAATTAACTTGTTATTGATTGTTAAAACAAGTCAGAATAACATAGAAAAACAGATAAAACATTGTAAAGGAACGTAGAGGAGCCTGCATCCACATTTACAATTCTTCATGAGCTCTTTAATAGTCCTGGAACTCAGCAGTGCTCTAATATGGAAATACAGACTACTAATCGGTGAGCTTACCCACTTCACACAAGTGAAGTCTGGGAGGTACCTCTATGTGCCAGCTTTACATTCTGTTTAAGAGCTCTTTAAGTCTAATCTGGGCACAGATGCACTTTAAAGTACAGCACAGTCTGTCACGATTGTGGCGTCAGACCCCAGACCTTCTCACCCAAACTCGTGACCGAAGGACTAGCTGATCTAAAACCGCGATGTGACGTGCGTAACAATGTCACACCCAGCTGCACCCTGCACAACCATTTTCCAGCTAACGGACCACAATCGATGTACCGGCAGCCTGGACGATTGTTACTGGGTTAGGCTAATTACGCAGTTAACCCTTCACACTGCCACCACCTCCTTTTTGTACAGAGAAAGAGGAAACTCGGCGTTATCAGCTATAACACTATAATGATTGAGAAAATCGTCTGTATAAAATGGTACACAGGCCGGTTATACAGAGGTTTAAACAAACACAGTAGCGTTCTCTTTAGAGGCAGGGATTCGTAAATTGCAATACAGAGCTATAGAAACAATTCAACACTTTCAGAAAGAAAGATCTATTACTAAAAGGTCAAACGGGTGCAATAAAAATATTTACAGAAAAAAGATGTAACTAAGATATATATATAATTATACAAAGAACCATAGCACAGCAAAGAGATATCAGAGAGAGATTAAAGGGTTAAAGTACTTGCCAAAGTCCTGGGTTAGCAAATCCAAATTTCAGAGCAAAAGGGCACGGGTCTCTCCAGGTGGTATTGGTGTTAAAATGGGAGACGTCTTCAACTTCCTACTCTTAGGTCTGTGAGCTTATTTTGTAGTCCCCAGCAGGGGGTGTCTCTTAAGTCAAGGCCCAATAACCCATTTAGGGCGTGTAGTTATGGGCGGATGCCTATACTAGAGCAAAAGTCGTCCATAACTCATATTTTGGCCCATAACTGTCCATCTGCACAAGGGACATTCCACCCACGGGTAGATTATTATGCAAACAAGTCTAAGAATTATTTAGATATGAATTATGAACGTGTACACTGTACAGTTCGCGAGATCTATTTTTCTGCTTTCCTGTGTGTTTGAGCCAAGGCGAGTGACCCATCAAACTGTTCGTCTGCTCATTGGCCATCTAACGATATGTCTGGTTTTTATGTAAGTCTCTCATATTCCAAGATATGAGACATAGGGGAAAACAGGGTTTTAACAGAGGTTATCTGATTCTATCACCTATGCTGAGCTAGGTTTATGAGGTCGGAATCTCTTTCAACTTCTGAGAAAGCTTGCCTTATCTCTTAGGAGGTGTCACAATTGGCAGGTTCTGTGTACAGAGAGACTCCAACTCTCTTGGGGGCTTTTACAGCTCCTATGACCCTCCTGTGACATTCTTAACTCACACACATACTGGCCACATGTCGCTGGGCCTCTCAGGAAGGGAGCGGGATGGAGAATAAGGGAGAAATTGATACTCTTTAACAAAATGGAGTCTGCGTCCTTCACTGTGTGTTGCGCACGTTTGCGACACAGTCTGCTTATTAGATCTAGCACACAACGTACAAGAAAGTGACCTTGTCACTGCAGCACGCATAGGCTCAACATATCCTGTGCAAATACGCTCAGACCACTTAGGCCTCTCTAACACGGGCAGTTGTTCTGTCACTTGTAAATGCAGAACATTCCAACACTTCTGGCACAGAGATCACTTGCGTTTGTACATTGCGGTTATCTGCGTTTAAATGTGGCTGCATTTAGCTGCAGTAGTAAATTCTTCCCTTTTCTAATGCAACTGTTTACTTATTTTTTCTTTGTACTGCGATTAACTGCGTTTATGTACAGATAGCTGCGTTATATTGCTCCTGGACGCAGTCAACTTTATTTTTCCTAAACTCATAAAACCGTATGCTATGAAAACGTTGCTAAATACAGTGTGTGAATGGAGACATAGGGATGCATTGTCTGCATTTAGCTGTGGTAAGGTCCTTTAACCGCAGTTAAAAGCTGAAATATAACTGCCCGTGTGAAAGAGGCCTAACAGACGCTCCCTTTGTCCAGCCAAATATTTATTCTTTTTATCCTGTTCTGCTATTTTCTGCCTTAATGAGGGGGGTCATGATAAGAAGCCTGTACTAAAATGGTAAATACAGCTGAATAGAGTTGAACAGTTTAACTACAAAATACCATATTGACATACAATGATCTCACTTATTCCACTCATTTTCAGCTGTAGCATCTTCTTCACCTCCAAAGCAGTGTAAAAATTATGTTAAATTAGTGGTTTCATCCTAGGAATGTGCAGCCGTCTTACCATTTTGTGACCTCTCCACCCAGGTAAAGGTGATGGCTCCTTCTTTACTGCTTTCACTAAACCTCAATAAAAATGTACCCGGTTCTTTGTCTTTTAGCAGCATACGTTCTCTTTCTTTGCTGATAAAACCCATAATACACCTGCAAGTGTCAAGAAGAGAAAGCATTATTGTTGTTTTCCAACAAATCTATGAGAAAAACATTCTAACTGTTCAGGAAATATAGGATTTTTGTACACACCATACAATCCTTTAGGAGTCCATTGAGCGACACAGAAAGTCATTCGTCTTTAGGTTATAATGCCACCTACAGGAATATTTGACACTTTCAAACAATTGTGGGCAAGCACTGGTTGAACCCTCTAACTCCCAGCATGCCTCAGTTTTGTAGTAAAGAAGTACTAAGAGCATGATCATAAACACAGATGGGTAGGTAAGCATTTTACTGTGAGTACAAAAATCTTATTTTTTTCTCATCCATTGAGGGACATAGGAAGTCATTCACCTTTGGGATATCCAAAAGCAGTACAACTGAGGGGTAGGCAACACAGCAAACAAACCATAACAGGCCCAAGAAAACAAAAGATAACGGGTATGCCTGCAACTCAGAAAGCACCTGAAGGACCTTACACCTGAGGCTCGCATCAGATGAGGCATGCAACATCTATCTAGTAAAATGAGTGAATAGAAGACTAGGTGAAAGCCTTGCAAATATGGGAAACTGATGCTTGATTACAAAAAACAAACAAACAAGTACTCATAGATCTAGTGTAGTGTGCCTTGAGCTTGGACAGTTGTCTGAGCCACGTAGAGATTGTGGTGCAAGAAGTTTGTGCACCCCTAAAGGGACCACCCGTAATCACAAAATGGCAATCAGTCTTTCTGAAAGAAGCAGTAGCTAAGAGATCATCACAGCCTGAACCACTTCCAGACAATGGAGGGAAATAATTTCCTATCCTCTTGGTGAACTGGAGCTGGACAGAGGGACAGAAAAAATATATTCTGGTTAAGGGGAAAAGCAGAAACTACCAGGAAACTCACCCATCCATGTCTCCATGCTTTATTCTGCTGAGAAATCACTTAGAAAAACACCCCCTAACATTTCTGGCCATGGTTATCTTGAGTAAGGGCAGTTGATTCATGTAGCAATTACTTCCTGGAATTCATCTGCCCTTAGTTCAGACAAACAGACAGGAGGGTGTGCTTAGCTGAGAAAACCCTAGATCCCAATCTCCTAGATTGTAAGCTCGAAAGAGCAGGGCCCTCAAACCCCTTGTGTATTGTTTTGTTACTGTATTGTCTCATGTACTGTCCCCCCTATAATGTACAGCGCTGAGCAAACCTTTTGGCGCTATATAAATACTGTATAATAATAATAATAATAATAATAATAATAATAGGTATGGAAACTGGAAAGTGACTAAAGAAATGTAAAAAAAAAAAAAGTTTAAAATAAGTAAATATGATATGATATATTTTCCTATCCCTTTACTAATGCTGGCAGCATAAGGATAAAAATAGTAAATGGTGACTGTGGGAGTGAAATTCCACTCTAATCAAGGAGAGAGGTCAAATACATTGGTCTTTGAAACAAGCTAGAAATGGCAGACATGATTTTTAAAAGTGCTGATAGCCAAACTCTTGTCCAGATCCAGGTGTAGGAAGAAAACAGAGAAACACCTAGGGTGAAAGCCTAGAAGACTTCCTTAAAGAAGGCTACAATCAGACGCAAGACTCTCATGCAAAAGCAAACTGGACTAGAGGGCTTAAATCTGGGATTGGAGAGTCTGAAGTTTGCTGTGTGAGAAACATTTTGGCCTGTGCTGTGTCAAAGACTAGACCCATATACTTCAAACGATGACCTGAAGGTTCAGGCTCTATGTGAGCCACTGTTGCTTCTGAACAATCAAAACCATATTGTCTAGCAGAGCCTGTGCCAACTATTCCCTCAACAGAAGGTCATCTAAGTATCCTACAATGAGGATACCACAAGAGTGCATAAGGGTTAGTACTGGGGCTAAAACTTTGGTGAACACACAAGGTGTAGACAAGAGACTGAAAGCTAGGGCCAAAAACCTGTAGTGTGGGTGTTCCACAACAAACATTGATGCTCTGTAAAGATGGAGACATGTAGCTACACTTTTATGTCCACCAAAGCAAGAAAGTCTTCTTGGTGGAAGGAGGCGATGACTGACCTTGTGGAGTCCATTCATGATAAGAGCTTGAATGAAAACATACTGCTTTTAGATTCAAGATGGGGTGAATGCCTCCTTTGGGTCTGAGAACAGTCAACAGGTTGAAGTAAAACCATTGAAAACATTCTGCCACAGGATCTGGGTCAATGACCTCAATTTAGAAAAACCCAGAGGACTTAAATGAGATCTGCTAACCTGTGGCGTGACACAGGAAAGCTGGAGTTGACAAACCAAGGAGGGAGCAGGGGGTGAAACTCCAATCTTCAGCCCTTTGAGACCACCTCCCACATCCAGACATCTAAGATGCAAGATGTCCAAATGTCTGCAAAAGTTAACAAATGTCCCCCCATTCTGAAAAAGGGGGACGTGCCTTCATGCTTAGGAAGGTTTGTCTGAGGGTTTGATAGACTGAGTTTTAGACCTTGCAGGTGGACTGTAAACAAAGCTAGTGGGTGTGGACTTGTATGATGCAGGAATGGAGAAACAAAAAAGACACAAGTGGAAGGTGACATGGAAAACTTCCAGCAGCCTGTTACAACATTATTTCCAAGCTACAACTACTTGCTCCAAACATTCTAAGACTGGTGGAGACTTTCGTGAATTTTCTCTTTGCAAATTCAAGTTTGGTTTGTTACACCTCATTTGCTAAAATAAGTGAAAAAATTAATTTTTAAAGTAAATATGCTCTATTCCTTTAGTAAATCAGAGCGTCAGCTATCAGGATGGTGGGCCCTGTATCCGAAACATCAGTTTTCAAAAAAAAACAGGTGCATCTTGCAACTGTTTTTGATCAGGACAAGTAAGAATAAAGAATTATTTCCATATTTGTTTCTCCTATTGCTATCAAAAAAAAAATGTAGATTACAAAAATCAATATGTTTGCCTTCTGGTTGCTTTAGCTGATGATTATAGGAAATAACTATTTATTTCCTATGACCTCAGCTTCATCTAGTGGACTTATTACAGTATTTTCCAAAATTACTAAAATGTTTATAAATTAATAAAATTTGATTTGTACAGGAAATAGCCAGAGAGCATTTGAAATTGCACAGAATGGATATACCAGCAGTGGACAAATAGCTCTGCAAAATGGTTTTATAAATGCATACTGTAGACATGTTATGTCATTGCACGAAAAAATTAGGGAGTGTAAAATTCCGGCAGATTAACAGGTATATTCTTTTTTTTTTTTTTTTTTTTTAAACGGATATACTATGAGGATAAGTTTGTTCTGCAACTGTAGTTCATAACAGAAACTTTTTCTGCTGCAACTATTGGAGGGTCAACTTGGACTTGTGCTTAGGGTCACTGTCATGCTGGAAAGTCCAAGAGCATGCACAGCTTTCATGCAGAAGAATGCAAACTGTCGGCCAGTACCATCCCCCCCGCCCCTCCAAAACATTAGTGAGCCACCACCATGCTTCACAGGGGGATGGTATTCTTGTAGTAATAGGCCTTGTTAACCCCTATCCAAACACTGTGCTTATGGTTTTGACCATAAAGCTCTATTTTAATCTTGTAACTCCAGATTACAGTGTACCAGAAACTGTGGTGTGTGTCAAGGTGTTGTCGGGCATATTGTAGCCAGGCTTTTTTGTGGCATTGGCACAGTAAAGACTTCTTTCTGACATCTTGACCATGCAGCTCATTTTTGTTCAAGTATTGTATTGTGCTCCTTGAAAAAGCCACACCATCTTTTTCCAGAGCAGTCTGTATTTCTCCTTAGGTTACCTGTGGGGTTTTCTTTGTGTCCTGAACAATTCTTCTGGCACTTGTAGCTGCAATATGCCTTGGTCTACCTGACTTTTACTTGGTGTAGAGATTCCCAAATTTTGCATGTCTTAGTGTTTGAACAGTACTGACTGGCATATTCAAGGCTTTGGATATCTTTTTATATCCTTTTCCATCTTTATAATGTTCCATTACCTTCTTACGCAAGTCTTTTGACAGTTCTTTTCTACTCCCAATGGCTCAGTATCTTGCCTGTTCAGTACATTCACATGAGTGCTAACAAACGCATTGACTATTTATACACAGACACTAACTGCAATTTAAAAAGCCACAGATGTAGGTAATCAATCTTTAATTGCCATCTTAACCTGTGTCTGTCACCTTGTGTGTCTGTACCAAGGCCAAACATTCCAGGGGATATAAATTTTGATCAGGGCTATTTGGGTGATTTCTGTTATCATTATGATTTAAAAAGGAGCCAAACATCTAAATGATAATAAAAGGCTTCATTTGATCACTATCCCTAAAGTGTCACTAAACCCACACCAATAAAAAACTATAAGTAAATGCTGTATTACATGCTGTTCATATGCACTCAGTCACTATGAGATTCGCTTTCTGTATTCTGCAAAAAACCTGGTTGATTCTGCTGCTTTCTATTTCCACCTTCTGTTCATGTCCCCAATTCAGCTAGAGATTTTGCAGCTGTAGAGGCAACTCTGCACATGTTAATTTTTCAAGGGAGTTTCTATTCTGCGCATTTCCACCCTATCACATCTGAGCAGCTCATGTGACTATAGCGTCCCACATGTGGGCATATACAAAATGGTAAATGAAAGCCCACTCCCTCTCTCCTCCTCTATGCCACTAACCACCTAAATACAATGGGGGCGGGATATTACATGCAGATTAATGGAGGAATCACTTCCCTGTGATTTTAACAGCCTGTGACTGGCAAAAATCCAATCACACCATGTTATTTCCACAACATAATAATTTGATTTCAAATATATATTTGTATGCCAATTTAAAAGTTTATTGATATTATTTATTTATATTTACTCAGTATTCCAAAGACTGTTTTTTTTTATTTTGAACATATGACCAGCAACAGAGGGCTAGAAGCTTATGTTTCTCTGCAGACAAGCTGGGAAAGAGCTGGGCCATGTGACAGTTGTATATCAATTAGGAAAAAGGTACTTAAATGTTTTTTTCATTAAAGTAATTGCAGTGCCATCATCTACATACAGAAATAGAAGAGATACAGTTAATTAAACAGTGTGTGTTTAGTGTCAATTTAAATAAAAGATAGTTTTTGGCACGATTACTCTGTTTCACAATCAATGACATTTCACAATTTCTGCCAAGGTGTGCAAAATTTTGAGCACAACTGTACTTACAACATGCACACAACAAAGTAACTGATTTGCTGAACAAAGAATTATTAAATTTTTTTTCTGGATATTTTCCTCCCTGCACTTTTTTTCTTTTTAGGTAAAGCCACTATTCACTTTATCATGAATGAAATGCTATTGTGCGATACTATATGGAACCAGCTGAAAGATATCATGATGCTGCAGCTGAGGAACAGTGGCTGGAAATAAAAAATTTGAGAACAATAGTAACTTTGCCCACTGAATCTGTGCATTGGATGGTAAGCACATTCCTTCTAAATGCCCCAAAAGCAGTGGTTTTATATTCTACAAATACAAAAAAATATTTTTGATTGTGCTAATGGCCATTGCTGAAAGCAATTATGACTTTGTCGCTATAGATGTTGGTGCTCCCAGGAATTCTGAAATTCTCCAATGGGGAAGAAGATAATGCAAGGATGGTTTAAAAATTCCAAGTCCTAGCCCTCTAACCGAAAATGGAGAGCCCCTTCCATACAGTGGGGAAAATAATTATTTGATCCCCTGCAGATATTTTATGTTTGCCCACTTACAAAGAAATGAAGAATCTATAATTTTTTATCATAGGTGTATTTTAAATGATAGAGATAGAATATCAACCAAAAATCCAGAAAAAAAAACACATGATACAAATGTTATAAATTAAGCTGCAGTTCAGTGAGTAAAACAAGTATTTGATCCCCAAGCAAAACATGACTTCGTGCTTGGTGGAGAAACCCTTACTGGCAAGGTAAGACGTTTCTTATAGTTGGTTACCAGGTTTGCACATCTCAGGAGGGATTTTGGTCCACTCCACTTTACAGATCTTCTCTACATCCTTAAGGTTTCTTGGCTGTTGCTTGGCAACTCGAAGTTTCAGCTCCCTCCATGAGTTTTCTATAGGATTACGAACTAAAGACTGGCTAGGCCACTCCATGACCTTAATGTGCTTCTTCTTGAGCCACTCCTTTGTTTCCTTGGTGGTAAGTTTTGGGTCATTGTCATGCTGGAAGACCCATCCACGACCCATCTTCAGTGTTCTGGCTGAGGGAAGAATGTTCTCATCCAAGATTTTACAATACATGGCCCCGTCTGTAGCAATTGTGCACACAAAGATGGATGTGAACCTCCATTTTGGCAAAGGCCTCCATCTTGTATCATTTTCTACTCCCAAATCAGCTTCCTCAAAATCCCCCCCCCCTCTTTGTTGAGTGACATGTGGTCTGGATAAGGCAGAGGTCACAGGCAAGTCAAGGCTCAGTGGGAGAGCTCCAGGGCTTTAAAATTCCAACCAAGCTGGTGCCTAGATGTCTGTTAACTTCTCAATCTGGGATATCGTAACACCATAAACCAAGTCCTTCACTGAGCTCAAAGACATTCCAGATAAACAGTAAACCAGACACCACATTCAACATCTATTTTTATGGTACACAGATTGTGGTCCATTAGCTGGAAAATCTTTGTGCAGGGTGCAGCTGGGCGTGGCAATGTTACGCACGTGACAGCGCGGTTTTAGATTGGCTAGTCCTTCGGTCACGAGTTTGGTAAGAAGGGCTGGGGTCTGACGCCGCGATCGTCACACCGTCCATTGGCCCCTCAATGCGGCAAAATCATCCTGTACCTTTAGCAGAGAAACAGTCCCAAACACAATGTTTCCATCTCCGTGCTTGACTGTATGGATGGTGTTCTTAGGGTCATAGTCAGCATTTTTCTTCCTCCAAATACAGCGAGTCAAGTTAATGTCTAGAAGCTCAATTTTGGTCTCATCTGACCACAGCACTTTCTTCCAATCCTTCACTGAATCAGATGTTCCTTGGCAAACTTCAGACAGGCCTGTACATGTGTCTTCTTGAGGAGGCGGACCTTGCGGGCGCTGCAGGATTTCAATTCCTGGCGGCATATTGTGTTACCAGTGGTTTGTTTAGTGACTGTGGTTCCAACTGCCTTGAGATTATTCACAAGCTCCTTCCATGTAGTTCTGGGCTGAACTCCCTTTTCTGATAATCCCCTTACCCCATGAGGCAAAATCTTGCATGGAGCTCCAGACTGAGGGTGATTGATGGTTATTTTTTATTTTCTTCCATCTGCGAAAAATTGCTCCAACAGTAGTCTCCTTCTCACCAAGCATCTTGCGGATGGTGTTGTAGCCCATTCCAGCCTTGAGCAGGTCTACAATCTTCTCCCTGACATCCTTTGATAGCTTTTTGGTCTTGCCCATGGTGGTGAGGTGTGAATGGAAGACACAGATGTCTTTTATACACATAACGAGTTGTCGTTAGGAGCACCTTCTTAAATTGACAGGATTAATCTGTGTACCACATGAGCACATAGCCAGTCTGTGGTAGCCAGAATTATTGTTGGTTGGTAGGGGATCAAATACTTATTTTACTCACTGAACTGCAACTCAATTGATAAAATTTTTAACATGCGTTTTTTCAGAATTTTTGGTTGATATTCTCTCCCCTGTGTCAATTAAAATACATCTATGATAAAAAATATAGAACCTTCAATTCTTTGTAGGTGGGCAAACGTACAAAATCTGCAGGGGATTAAATAATTATTTTTGCCACTGTTTGTGATGTGGCGATGAGGCTTTTGCTCTTTGAACATCCTTATTGAAGCCTGCTTCATGATTCTGCCTCTGTTTGGCAGACATGCTCTCCCAATATATAGACCATATGCATCTGCAGATCTCCTTCCAGGCTTTTTGTTTTTTAAAAACATCACTGTAGCTGGGGATTGAAAGATCATGCAGCTCAGAATGCTACACATCTGCCTGTATGAGCACAGCCAACTTAATCACAGCCATGCTAGCAGACAGGAAATAGCTGATGTAACTTTGTTACAATCTATTCTATCATTTAACATTGACATTCTGGGCATTACCTGATTGCTTCTGAGTTTGTCCCCCAGCACCCTGTAAATGATTTCCAACTGCATCTCAGGCTTGCTGTAAATGCCATAAGTTTGTGTTTTGTAGTGCTTTTACATTGACATGAATGGAGGTGGTTGGGGAGTGGTAAAGTCAGCATGATCCTACTAGATGGATACATATTGGTACACCACAATGCAAAGCACCACTAACATGATCATGTGTACTACACTGTCAGCTGCAATGGACAGAATTGGTACAGAGGATGCAGAGGTGTTCATTAGACTTTAAAAAGGTAGATGAAACGCCTGTTCTTGGAGCACATGTAACTCAGCCTTGCTTTTATAGTCCAGATCACTTGTATGTTTTGATTCATGATTCATTTTTGCTTAGACATGCCCTAACATACCCATTTTAATTCTGCTTCATGCTTTCACACTCCAGTGCACTATGCCAGCATATTTGATTAACAGCAACGGCACTCAGCACAAACTGTCCTCACACAGACTTGTATTTCAGAGAAGGGGAGGGACATGTATGAAAAGTTCTGGTACTGAATGCTGATTACAGAGAAACGCAAAAAATAAACTAGGAAAGAAAATTGCCTTTAAACTGTAGGTAGAATTGTTCAATGGTCTTCAGACACACTTTAGACTATTTGTTTTGTGAGGTATAGAGTTTATCCTTATTAAAGTAACCACACCTTTCTAATACAATGTCCTTTTTTGGTGCAGGCTAACTGCATCCACAGGAAAGAGAATTTTGAGAGAAGACATTTCAGCGACCTTTGTAGATTGGGATTGCGTTTAGATAAATTAGAATGTTAATATTTCCTTATTGTAGATCTGAAATAACTAAAAGAATATACAATAGATAAATAACTCACCCATCATTCCATAGGCATAATAGATGCTTTTTAATTAGTTCCAAGATGCCCTCAATCCAAAGCCAAAATGGAAAAGTCTTTTCATTGAGATTTTCCTAAAAGCAAAAGGATTACATTAAAACAGCTAGCCTTAATAGCAGCAAAATATTTTGTGAATAATTTTAATGATTAAAAGGAGTGTATCAAGTAATGCTGATGCTTCATTGTCTTACACACAGGCAAAATCTTGTTAACATGCATATATCTATTATTAAATTTCAAGTGAAGTCAATCAGTGTGCTATTTTTGATATACAGAAAAACGCTGCAACAGTGCAGAAAATCTAGTCCATGTACAAAACGTTAATATGAGTTCTGTGTAAACCAATGATGTCAAAATCTTGAGAACACGCTTCGCAGGATCACAAAGGGGTGTATTTATAAAAAATGTGCTCAGTGAAAGTGCATGTACATTTATTCTGTGCAAATGGGGCAAAGAAATTAAGGTAAATAGCCTATTTTCTGTGCTGTTTGAATGTCTTTCATTGATGGTGTTAAGTATAATAGGAAATTGCTATGATACTGAAAATGAATGAAAAACATTTAACCAGCAAAGGAAATACATTCAACCAGCAAAGCCCTTAGCCTGTGTTCTTTTAGAAACGGAAGAACAATGAAGGTAGAAGCAAATTACAGAAAGCAGATGAGAAAGGAGTAAACAGCAGCGAATACCTTGCAGAATTTTGTCCATGGAATACAGTCATCAGTAGGATTTGGCCCTAAAGAACGAAAACATAAAATATTTGTTTTTTTCAATTCCCTCTAAATTCCAGGTTACCGTATAAGCTGAAGTACACCTGATTCTTAAGCATACATGCATCTTTTAATTAAGTCTCATTCACACCTGCAGTTCTGTGTATTACTTTTTTAAATGCAGGACAAATCATTTGGGAAGTATAAACAACCCTTATGCTTCATCAACTGCATTTATATGTTCCTTTTTTAAAGCAGGTTTAGACCCGTTTATTCACATTTACATACATTTAGGCGTATTTAGATTGACTCAACAGACCCTGGACGCATGGAATTCTACTTCTCTAAATTCAGCTAAACTGACTGCATCTAAATGCAGGTAAACGCACAGTGCGTAAGGCAATACTGAAAAATCATTACATGCATTTATACACACTTAAATATGTCCTCTAATTGCATGTTTGTCCGTGTGAAAGAAGCCTAAGATCCAGCACAGAAGTAGAGCACCAGCGATTCTGTGGATAAACTAGAAAAGGGTTACAGTGCCTTTTTGTTTTTTTTCACTGCTGCCGGTGTCCTGTTTTGGAGATTTTTCTTCAGTTCCTGTCTTGAATTACAGGTAGTCACCAAGGCAGGAGGAGTGCGAGGAAATCTTTTAAATAAATGGCTGGGGGTTCCAAAAATCTGAGAAAAATGTTCCCGCAAAAGTAAAATCATATGGTTTTCAGGTGCATTTTGGCTGGCACTTAGACTAAAAAGGATTCTACATTTTATAGACCATTAAAATTATGAACGCTAACTCATCATATATTTTTTTTTTTATTCTACAACAAAAGTTCTGTGCAGTATCACAGCTGAAATGTGCCCATGTGTTTTTATAAATATGAAACTTTAATATTAGCTTTGAGTCTAAACATCCAGCATTAATTTAAATTTACAACAATTTTATATAGATGTTTTTATCTATTATAGTGAGGACTATAAAAAAAATTATACTTTTTTGCGAGGTATATATGAAATATTGTATATTAATAATTTATATTCTCATTTTCAGTCAGCAAATTAAGCTTTGGTCTTCTTTTCAGGTTTTCCAGGCTATTATTTGTACTTACAAAAAATCATCTCGTTTACAGAACTCAGTGGTGACTTATTCCTCTCCCTCGACACAGCTCTATCAGAGGCTCTAATGTGACATGGGGGTTGTATGTACTAAAACTGGAGCACTCCTGGTGCAGCTGTGCATGGTAGCCAACCAGCTTCTACCTTCAGCTTTTTAAATTAAAGAAGAATTCCAGGAATTTTTTTCACATGCAGTGGGGCTGTGCCCACAATGCATGGGTTAACTGCTCATTTTTGTCTAGGAGATTTCAGAGTGGAGATTTACTTATCTAATCTGCCAAGTGCAAGCCCAGTCCCAGTGCTCCTGACACCCCCCCCCCCCCCCGCAAGCTAGCGACATTGACTGTCTCTGACATTATTATGCTTGGACGTGAGGACGGCAGGAACAATCCACTGCTTGACATGGGGAATGCGCGCTGTTCTGGAGGATCGAAAGGATCAAGTAAGTATAGCCTTTCAGTGCACCCCTAGAAAAAATGAGCAGTTAACCCATGCAGTACGCAGGCACAGCCCCACTGCATGGGGGAAAAAAATTCATATTGAGTTCTGGTTTATGTTTTGACCAAAAAAAAAAAGGAAGCTGATTGGTTTCTATGCAGAGCTGCAGTAGATCTTGCACTCTCCGCTTTTAGTAAATCTCCCCTATAGTGTATGTAAAATGTGATAACTTCTGCTTTGCTGGATTTAGAAATCCCATGGATTTAGTAAAACAAAGGGGAGATTTACAAAAGTGTGTGCACTCAGAATCTTGAGCAGCCGTGCATGATAGCTAATCAGCTTCTAACCTCAGCTTGTTCAATTAAACTTTGACAATAAAACCTGGAAGCTGATTGGTTTCTATGCAGAGTTGCGTGAGCTGTGTGAGTTTATACAGTTGTGTTCAAAATAATAGCAATGTGTTGAAAAAAGTGAATAAAGCTCAAAATCCTTCTAATAGCTTTTATTTCCATGCACACAAATGCATTGGGATCACTACACATTATATTCCCAATCAAAACATGAAGAAAAATATATCAAATTTGTGTTGTTCCTCTAAAAAAAATTGAAGAAAAGTGAATATTAGACTGTTCAAAAAAATAGCAGTGTTTGTATTCTTCTTTACAAACATTCACTATATAAACTGAAAAATGTTTGAAGATTTTGCTTTCCTTTGAATCACTTAATTAATATTTAGTTGTATAAGCACTGTTTCTGAGAACTGCTGTACATCTGTGTTGCATGGAGTCAACCAACTTCTGGCACCTGTGAACAGGTATTCCAGCCCAGGATGATTGGACTACATTCCACAGTTCTTCTCTATTTCTTGGTTTTGCCTCAGAAACTGCATTTTTGATGTCACCCCACAAGTTTCTATTGGATTAAGATCTGGGGATTGGGCTGGCCACTCCATAACGTCAATCTTGTTGGTCTGGAACCAAGATGTTGCACGTTTACTGGTGTGTCTGGGGTCGTTGTCTTGTTGGAACACCCATTTCAAAGGCATTTCCTCTTCAGCATAAGGCAGCATGACCTCTTCAAGTGTTCTGATGTATTCAGACTGATCCATGATCCCTCGTATGTGATAAATAGGCCCAACACCGTAGTATGAGAAACATCCCCATATCATGATACTTGCGCAACCATGCTTCACTGTCTTCACAGTGTACTGTGGCTTGAATTCAGTGTTTGGGGGTCATCCGGCCACTAGACCCAAAAAAAACAATCTTACTTTCATCAGTCCACAAAATGTTGCGCAATTTCTCTTTAGGCAAGTCAATGTGCTTTTTGGCAAATTGTAACCTCTTCAGCACATCTTTTTTTCAACAGTGGGACTTTGCGGGGGCTTCTTGCAGATAGCTTGGCTTCACATAGGCATCTTCTAAATTGTAACAGTACTCACAGGTAGACCTTCTTTGATCTTCCTGGAGCTGATTGCTGGCTGAGTCCTTGCCATTTTGGCTATTCTATCCATTTGAATGGTAGTTTTTCACTTTCTTCCACGTCTTTCAGGTTTTGGTTGCCATTTTAAAGCATTTGCGATCATTTGAGCTGAGCAGCCTATCATTTTCTGCACTTCTTTATATGTTTTCCCCTCTCCAATCAACTTTTTATAACTTCACTCCATGCTGCAAACGTGCTCTTCGTGTGTTTATGAGTCCATATTGTGAGGAAAGTGATCTGAGAGGAATTCATTGCTTGGAGGGGGATCTTAATTGAGTCGGTGGAGTCAGTGGAGCATGAAAATCTGGCTGAGATACTATATATTTAAGGCTTTGTGACCCGCAAGGGTCGAATGTGGAAGGTGAGGAGGCATTTTGGCTATATCCAGGGGAGTCACAGACCAGGTCTGTTTTTCTTTAGCCCAGGTAAGACGCTTCTGACGTTTGTTGTTCAGGAGCGGCTTGACAAGAGGCTTGAAGCCCATGTCCAGGATCCGTCTGTGTGTGGTGGCTCTTGATTCACTGACTCCAGCCTCAGTCCACTCCTTGTGAAAGTCCCCAACACTTTTGAATGGCCTTTTCCTGACAATCCTCTCCAGGCTGTGGTCATCCCTGCTGCTTGTGCACCTTTTTCTTCCACACTTTTCCCTTCCACATAACTTTCTATTAATGTGCTTTGATACAGCACTTTGGGAATATCCAACTTCTTTTGCAATTACCTTTTGAGGCTTTCCCTCCTTACGGAGGGTGTCAATGATGGTTTTTTCTGCACAACTGTCAGGTCAGCAGTCTTTCCCATGATTGTGATTCCTACTGAACCAGACTGAGAGACCATTTAAAGGCTCAGGAACCCTTTTCAGGTGTTATGGCTTAATTAGCTGATTAGAGTGGGACACTTTGAGCCTAGAACAGGGGTGGGCAAACTTTTTGACTTGAGGGCCGCAATGGGTTTTCATATATTGGACCCGGGGGCCAGACCAAGAGTAGATGAATGATGTGTATGTGTCATCCATAGTAAGTATAGTAATATTCCCCCATAGTAAGCATAGTAATTCATCCCCCATATAGTAATTCATCCCCCATAGTAATTCATCCCCCATAGTAATTCGTCCCCCATATAGTAATTCGTCCCCCATATAGTAATTCGTCCCCCATAGTAATTCATCCCCCATATAGCAATTCATCCCCCATATAGTAATTCATCCCCCATAGTAATTCATCCCCCATAGTAATTCATCCCCCCATAGTAATTCATCCCCCCATATAGTAATTCATCCCCCATATAGTAATTCATCCCCCATAGTAATTCATCCCCCATATAGTAATTCATCCCCCATAGTAATTCATCCCCCACATAGTAATTAATCCCCCATATAGTAATTCATCCCCCATATAGTAATTCATCCCCCATAGTAATTCATCCCCCACATAGTAATTAATCCCCCATATAGTAATTAATCCCCCATAGTAATTCATCCCCCATATAGTAATTCATCCCCCATATTAATTCATCCCCCATATAGTAATTCATCCCCCATAGTAATTCATCCCCCATATAGTAATTAATCCCCCATAGTAATTCATCCCCCATATAGTAATTCATCCCCCATATAGTAATTCATCCCCCATAGTAATTCATCCCCCATAGTAATTCATCCCCCATATAGTAATTCATCCCCCATAGTAATTAATCCCCCATATAGTAATTCATCCCCCATATAGTAATTAATCCCCCATATAGTAATTCATCCCCCATAGTAATTCATCGCCCATATAGTAATTCATCCCCCATATAGTAATTCATCCCCCCTATAGTAATTCACCCCCCCTATAGTAATTCATCCCCCCTATAGTAATTCATTCCCCATGTCCCCCCGTGTGAATTCACTTACCTTTGCTCCGCGCGTTCCTCTTGTTCCCGCGCCGTTCGGTGTAGCATGAAAATCTGTCTCCTATGAGGATCTGTCCCCCTCGACGTATCTGCGCATGTGCCAGTTTCAGGCATTAGCAGCCGATCGGCGATCTCCGGCACATGCGCAGATACGTCGAGGGGGGACAGATCCTCATAGGAAACAGGGCGGACTGTGAGAGGAGCCTAGCGGGAGCCTAGCTCCGCGGGCCGGATTAAAAGGTCCGCCGGGCCGTAGTTTGCCCATTGCTGGCCTAGAATATTGCACCTTTTCACAATATTCTAATTTTCTGAGATTGTGGATTTCGGGTTTTCATGAGCTGTAAGCCATAACCATCACAATTATGACAAATCATGGCTTGAACTATCTTGCTTTGCATGTAATGAGTCTATCTCATATATTAGTTTCACCTTTTAAGTTGCATTACTGAAATAAATGAACTTTTGCATGATATTCAAATTTTTTGAGTTTCACCTGTATGTAACAGCAGAGAACATGGGCATACAATGAATTGGCTCTGTGGATCAACATGACCGCAATTCATTCTTTCTTTTCTGTAATGCCCATGTTGAGGGTTAGGCCCAAAAGAGTTTTAAATTCAGAAACCATGATAGGTTTCCATGCGAATTTTCTGGCAAAAGCTGAATTTGAGTGCGCGGCCATGTATTGTTGTGTGTATAAATTGCCTTGGCCCACAATCAATTGATACAAATCTTCCATGAAAAACAGCAGAGGGGCTAAACGCTAGTGCTGGCAGTGAATGGGCCGATCCTGCTAACTCTGCGTTTTTGTGGACAATATACAAAGAAGGCTGTAGTATAGTTCTGTTCATGAACAACATATTGATCCATAGAAACACTAAACTAGTAATGGCGGTGATCAGCGACCTATAGAGTGAGTGCGATAGTGTGCGGGCAATATAACGCTAGCTGACCCTGATTCTATCTGATGTCATTGTGGCAGGAATACAGTGATCAGTGAAAAATGATATATACTGATACTGTACTAATGGCACTGGCTGGATGACGGGGTGATCAAAGGGTTAATAGGGGCGATCAAAGGGTTAAATGTGCTAATCTAACGCATGCATGTAAAATGTAGTGGTGCTTTTACTCGGTGTAGTGTTCTCTCTTCTCTCCCTGGACCGACGGGTGTGTGTGTAGGGGGTGGGGGGGGGGAGAAGTTGGGCAGTGGGGGGCGCAGATGCGTTCACACCCAAAAATAGGAAGCAACACATGATTAAGCCGCTCTGCCAAGAGCTTCTGCTCTCCTGTAAAATGTGGGAAAGCAGTCAGCAAGTAGTTAAAAAAAAAAGAAAAAACTATTAAAAAAATGTTTTTTAAATTCTCAATATGGTATTTTTTTGTGGGGGGGGGGTGATCAGGGAATTTTTTTACACTTAGCTTTGCAAGAGAAATAAAGATCATTTCTCCTGCAATGCGAAGCTTGCTGTCAGAACCTAACTCATTCAGGATAGTGATCTGTGATTGGCTGGAGTTGGTCACATAGTACAGGGTGCTGTGATTGGCCCCATGTATCGTGTGACAGCTGTGGGCCAATCACAGAGAAGCAGAGAAGTAGAGCTGTTATGAATGACATTGAATCACAACAGCTTTGCTTACATAGTGATCATGTGATCGCATAGCGTGGCACCCCCTTGTGCACCCCCTTGTGTCAGTACAGCCAGAGTGATGTACGGGTACGGCTTTTCCTGTAGCTGCCGCCCGGCCACAGTACATTGCGGGCAGGCGGGAATTGGATAATCGAGTCCCCCGTGCTAGGAACTTGACATTTTCTAAACAAATTGGCAGTGGACTTTTAGCAGTGGTAAGGAGGTGTGGTAAAACGCTATATTTATAATAACAAAGCAGAACAGCGGGGACATGGAGCATGAAATTCCGCGGGGAAAAGAGTAGATCCACATCTGTCTTGGAATATGTCTTTTAAAAGACACCATTAGGAATTGTTTTGCATTGGCTAAACAAGCTTCTCATATGGTCAGATCCAGGGAACAGGCACAAAAGAATGCAAACTGGGGTTTATTTACTAAAGCTGAAGAGTTTAAAACCAGGTTCACTTCTGCATAGAAACCAATCAGCTTCTAACCTCAGCTCGTTCAATTAAGCTTTGGCACTAAAACCTGGAAGCTAACTGGTTTCTATGCAGAAATGAGACTGATTTTGCAGTCTCCAGCTGTAGTAAACAAACCCGACTGTGTGCAAGTAAGCTCTTTATCTACAGCTCTTTATCTACAGCACTGCTAACTACTGCTGAATTTAGTATGGCTGACATTAGTGGGAAAGCCGGCAATAACTCTTCCAAATAGTGCACCCTGATAGATAGAGACAAAAGCTTTCCAGAGATAACCTGAGCCAATCAGTACATATCATTCATGCAGATCCTGCCTCTCATTTCAACTGTATACAGGAGATAGCAAGCTGCCAGTAAATCAACAGATCCCAATGCTAACTATATATACATATTTCAGGTTACTAATGATGAGTTTCAAGTGTCCGTATAAGGACAGTGGAGTAGATCACATTCACGATAGAAGTTATCCAAAGTAACTGTACAAATCATTAGTAATACCTCATCTGGAATATGCAGTTTTGGGCACCAATTCACAAAAAGAACATTGGGGAACTGGAGAAAGTACATAGAAGGGCAACTAAACTGATACGAGGCATGGAGGAGATCAGCTATGAGGAAATATTAGAGGAACTGAATTTATTCTCTCTTGAGAAGAGGAGATTAAGGGGGGATATGATCAACATGTATAAATACATCAGTGGTTCATATAGTGAACTCTGTGATGACCTCAGGGTGAATACCTGTACACCGAGGACAAGGGGGCACTCTTTATGTCTGGAGGAAAAGAAATTTAATCTCCAAACACGGAAAGGTTTCTTCACAGTGAGAGCTGTGAAAATATGGAATAGACTCCCTCAAGAGTTGGTTCTGGCCAGCTCAGTGGATTGCTTCAAAAAAGGCCTGGATTGTTTCTTAGATACACAGAATATAACTGGATACCAACATTTATAGGTAAAGTTGATCCAGGGAATATCTGATTGCCTCTCGGGGGATCAGGAAGGATTTTTTTTTTCCCTGCAGGAGCAAATTGGATCATGCTTTGCTGGGTTTTTTTGCCTTCCTCTGGATCAACTGTGGGTATAGGATTATAACTTTTTTTTTTCTATGGTTGAACTGGATGGACTTTTTTCAGCCAGACTAACTATGTAACTGAAAACTACATCCCAAAACAGTTATATAATGTTTGACAGCAGCTACAGCAAATCAAATGATACAGTATTCAAAGTTCTGCCATAAAAACCATGATTACATTTATTCACACTATACCTAATAATTTCTCTTCCAGCATACTCAGCTGATCTGTGTGAAGTCCTCTTTTGGTTACTGAAGAAAATTGCCAGCTGAGTACTTCCATCAACTGGGGCCATCTGGCTACTGCTGGGTTTAGGAAAAATGATAAGTTCTGCAAAAAAATTAATTTTATTATTTTATAATCACCCTAACTATAAAGCATGACAAAAAAAAAACTATCGTACTAATTTGAAAATAAACATTCCCAAAAAGCATTTAAAACTCATAAAACACAGGACAAATTAGTAAGTGCATGATGGATGAGAGGACAGTCAGATGGATAAGATAGATAGATAGATAGATAGATAGATAGATAGATAGATAGAGATAGGATAGCCAATAAATACTAACCTTTGTCTCTGAGCACAGCATATTGTACCATAAAATAGAAGCCCAGCCACTTGGAAGCTGGCTTACATTAGAAATCACAACTATTGGAAGTGATGCGGTCTGTGGACAAATAGATAAGATAAATGTTTATGACACATTTACTTTCTGAGGTAGAATAAAATGTTAGGTCTCGTTCACTCAGGACGTAAACATCTGTGCAGGTGCAGGGCTAATGTCGCATTGGGAGCAGTGGCTGTGTCAGTGCAGCTGCTACGTCCCAACTGACAACCAATTGAACACCTGAGCATCCCTATGCAGGTAAACACGGCACTCACAGGGGATAAGGTATCACACATCCTGTGTGAATGAGGCCTGATTGTGTATAAATACCATTGTTTATTGTGGTTTAACAAAATAATTGTGCTTTTCACTTTCTTTGAAGTGACCCTCTTTCCCACAGGGCATTTATGACAAAAGCCTGAATTATAAATGAGAAATCATGCAAATGTACCTTTGTGGGAGCCTGTTTTTTTTTTTTTCCCAGATGCTATTCCTTTACTGTTCCCCAACTGCTGCATGAATTCCACACTTTTAAGTGTGGTAAATACCTGCTCCTCCCACCACACACTGTATGTTCTTTTACTGGCTTGAACTTCACTACAAGGGGTCCCTATGAGTAAGTCAGAAGTGACAAAACACGTCAGAACATGATGGTGCAGCGACTGGAAGTGACGCTGACCAGAACAGAAAGTGACACGACGGCATCAGTGAACAGTAATCCGGAGGTGGTGAGAACACCCACGGTCTTCTGTCACTCCAGGCTTATTCAGTAATATGATACTGGGCTTTTTACTACTGTTTGCTTGTGAGTAACGTCCATTTGGATTAACAAAGGATCTTGGTTTTAATACTACACCATTGGAGCACCTCTCTGCTTTTTGTTTTACATGGTGATCATGGGAAAGAGGAATATCATGCTTGTATGATACATAAGCATTGGAATGTATGGAATCCTTAATAGTTTGAACCATTATACCTCCATGATGGTTGTACCCCATTGGTTATAATCCGCTTATATTTGGACAATTATTCTTTGAAGCCTGCTTTGCCAACCACAAAAGTGGGAGGCAATAGCTATTGGTAAGTGCACATCCATGTGGGAGACACTTTTAGGCACCTGGTTATTATTAGACAGCATGTGGTGGATTCCAAAGAAGGAGGAACAATTTCTGTGGACTTTGGATTATTATATATAATTTTCGTATTCACAGTAATACACTGATATCATTTTGTTGATTTATTCACATTGTATCATGTTGTACTCACTATATCACCCCATCACTATTAATTTAGTGCCACTATAACACTTTATGTGTTGTTTTATTCACTCATTTATTACGGTTGTTTAAAGTGGCAGTAGTTTTTTGATTAATATTTATTTGTTGAATATATTTGATACACTAAGCGCAATTTAATAGGTGTTGACAAATATCACATACACGTTTATTTAACACACTTACAGTCAGGTCCATAAATATTGGGACATTGACACAATTCTAACATTTTTGGCTCTATATACAACACCACAATGGATTTGAAATGAAACGAACAAGATGTGCTTTAACTGCAGACTGCCAGCTTTAATTTGAGGGTATTTACATCCAAATCAGGTGAACGGTGTAGGAATTACAACAGTTTGCATATGTGCTTACCACTTATTAAGGGACCAAAAGTAATGGGACAATTGGCTTCTCAGCTTTTCCATGGCCAGGTGTGTGTTATTCCCTCATTATCCCAATTACAATGAGCAGATAAAAGGTCCAGTTCATTTCAAGTGTGCTATTTGCATTTGGAATCTGTTGCTGTCAACTCTCAAGATGAGATCCAAAGAGCTGTCACTATCAGTGAAGCAAGCCATCAGTAGGCTGAAAAAACAAAACAAACCCATCAGAGAGATAGCAAAAACATTAGGCGTGGCCAAAACAACTGTTTGGAACATTCTTAAAAAGAAGGAACGCACCGGTGAGCTCAGCAACACCAAAAAGACCCGGAAGACCACGGAAAACAACTGTGGTGGATGACCGAAGAATTCTTTCCTTGGTGAAGAAAACACCCTTCACAACAGTTGGCCAGATCAAGAACACTCTCCAGGAGGTAGGTGTATGTGTGTCAAAGTCAACAATCAAGAGAAGACTTCACCAGAGTGAATACAGAGGGTTCACCACAAGATGTAAACCATTGGTGAGCCTCAAAAACAGGAAGGCCAGATTAGAGTTTGCCAAACGACATCTAAAAAAGCCTTCACAGTTCTGGAACAACATCCTATGGACAGATGAGACCAAGATCAACTTGTACCAGAGTGATGGGAAGAGAAGAGTATGGAGAAGGAAACGAACTGCTCATGATCCCAAGCATACCACCTCATCAGTGAAGCATGGTGGTGGTAGGGTCATGGCGTGGGCATGTATGGCTGCCAATGGAACTGGTTCTCTTGTATTTATTGATGATGTGACTGTTGACAAAAGCAGCAGGATGAATTCTGAAGTGTTTCGGGCAATATTATTTGCTCATATTCAGCCAAATGCTTCAGAACTCATTGGACGCCGCTTCACAGTGCAGATGAACAATGACCCAAAGCATACTGCAAAAGCAACCAAAGAGTTTTTTAAGGGAAAGAAGTGGAATGTTATGCAATGGCCAAGTCAATGGCCAAGTCAATCACCTGACCTGAATCCGATTGAGCATGCATTTCACTTGCTGAAGACAAAACTGAAGGGAAAATGCCCCAAGAACAAGCAGGAACTGAAGACAGTTGCAATAGAGGCCTGGCAGAGCATCACCAGGGATGAAACCCAGCGTCTGGTGATGTCTATGCGTTCCAGACTTCAGGCTGTAATTGACTGCAAAGGATTTGCAACCAAGTATTAAAAAGTGAAAGTTTGATTTATGATTATTATTCTGTCCCATTACTTTTGGTCCCTTAACAAGTGGGAGGCACATATGCAAATTGTTGTAATTTCTACACCGTTCACCTGATTTGGATCAAATTAAAGCTGATAGTCTGCAGTTAAAGCACATCTTGTTCGTTTCATTTCAAATCCATTGTGGTGTTGTATAGAGCCAAAAATGTTAGAATTGTGTCGATGTCCCAATATTTATGGACCTGAATGTATTTAATACAAGAAGTATAAGCTGATGGAAGTAACCTAAGTATGAGGCAGGGGGAGCAGATATTCATCACAAGTGTGGAATATCTTCAGTGACTGGGGAGCAGCAAAGGGGCAGCACATGAAGACACAGGCCATTACAGGGTCGCTCTCCTCTACTTTCAGATGCTCAGAAACATAAGTGGACCATCATCTTCCCATCAGGGGCGGACTGACAACTCATGGGGCCCCCCGGGTAATAGGGGATCATGGGGCCCCTGTGTCCTTGCCCACACTCAAAGCACACCCAAAAAAGCCTATAAAAGGTACCAGGGGCATTTCATGGGGCCCCTCTTGACCCTGGGCCCTCAGGCAGTGCCCGAGTGCTCAAATGGTCAGTCCGCCCCTGCTTCCCATACAATGCAGTACTGCTGGTCCTGCATTGTATGCAATGATATCAGATTGCTATGACCAGCAAGGAACTGGCTTTAGGGCAACCAGTTGCACAGTAAAATGAAACATTCATGAGTGAGGAATAAGGTAATTATTTTTACTGATATTTTTTTACCCCTGGCCAAATAAGAGTTTAAACCATGCACTGTGGAGAGTATAGTATATAGGGTATAGTTGGTGCCGGCATCGCACGGGCAAATTTATCAGGAGCCTATAGTGAAGCATTAGTTTTTATTTCTAAATTTTTCTAAAGATAACTTACCTCCAAATCCACTACATATCCAAGATGGCAAAGCTGTGTCTCAAAACTTAATGAATGCAGTTCTTCAGTCACAATAAGAGGTCCCTGAAGACAGGAAAATGTTGCAATAAATTATTTTCAATATAATATCAAAAGACAAAAATATTATATAACATATATACATATACTATATATACAGTGTATATATTTACTTTTCCTTGTACGTGATTGGGTATTCTTTCTGAAATTAATTTAATTGCATATTTATAGACACTGACATTGTAGCATGAGCCCTAAATAGAGATGCTGAACGTTAAGATTTAAACATGCAATGTAGGCTTTCCTAAAGTGGAACTCCTGTTTTCTAGGTTCAACTTTCAAGCTGAAAACACTAAAGGTCCCTGTGTACTGTACATGGGATGAGAGTGGACAAACAATGCTTGTCTTTTGGCAGCTTTTAACATTATCAGCCAACAGAACGTAGGGAGAAAAGCCATCAGAGAGCTAAGGAAACCATCTCCGAACTGTACTGTTTCTCCTTAGGAAAGCTGGTACCTCAACTTTTTGTAGCATATGCCCATAGTCTCCACACCTCTTATAATCTAAACAGAAGCACCCATAAGACCCATACATTACTGTTTGGAGGTAAAGTTGTGCAAAAATATTACAGGACAGTCAAATTGTCAATTGTTCTCTGACAGTCAGAAAGCAAAGCATAAAAAAAAGAAATGACTGTAAGGCTTCACGCAGATTGGCATGATTGCCTGTACAATGTGAAAAAGTCAGCATATTTTTGTTTACAGGATGCCCTGGACCTGCGTACAACTGCCCATAGACATGAATGGGTGAAGGTAGCTGTACACACCTATATGGTTCACACGGGCAATTAAGGCCAGTGTAAATTGCGTCAGTTCTTCCTTCAGCTCAGTGGGTAGCTGGGGCCACCAGCCCTGTTCACTATGATAGATCGCCAACAGCCACACCTATTCGCAGCTCTCTGCACAGCCTGCGATTACATGCGGTGATTGCTGCTGAATGCACGTTGTCTGCATCCAGCAGCGATTACTGCAGGTAACTGCTGGCTGTGCAGAGAGCCGCAAATAGGTGCGGCCACCAGTGACCTGTCATTAAAGTGAACAAGGGCTGGTGGGCTGCAGCTAGCTACTGAGAGCTGCAGGGAGAACTGCTGCTACAATTCGCACTGGCCCTAATTGCCGGTGTGAATGTAGCCTAAGGGTGAATACACCCCATCTGCATAAAGACTAATAGCCCCACTGCAGCGTGGTGGTTCCTCGAATCCTGCTAAGCTGCTGCTGAAGCTGTACATCACCTCATTCACTAAGCTAAGTGAATTTTCTCTTTGTTGAGAGAAGTTCAGCAAATAAGGTGACGTTTTGCTGGCCTCAATGTGTCAGCAAAAATCCTGCTTTTTTTTTTTCCATGCACACGATTAGATATTCTTTGCAAAGTTAATATTTCATTAAAGTGGTAGTAAAGGGTAAAGTTTTTTTACCTTCATTCATTTTATGCATGAAGGTAAAAAAACTTTCAGTGTGCAGATCTCCCCACAGCCCCCTCTTAATACTTACCTGAGCCTGAACTCCCTCTGCTGTCAATCACAGCCAAAGAGGGGGGAGCGGGGGAGGAACTGAGCTATACCCTGTGTGTCCCATAGACACACAGAGCTGGCTCGGGAACAAGCATGCAAAAGTGTCCCCAGCGCAAGCAGCTGGAATATGAGGTAGTATTTGGACAGATATTCTTGGCTGGCAGATTTTCCACACCAAAGGATCATCACAGTCTCCCTGACCTGTTCCTGAATGGAACTGAGAATAAAATGCAGCACCATGAATCAATTGTCCTGGTATATATTTCTTCCAGTACCAATTAGGATAACGGATGGAGCCAATGCATTTCAAGGGTCTCCAAAATATCCTTCATCATGGCTTAAAGATGGGGAATGATGTATTCTGCATAAAATAGAAGACATAAATTAGCAGTATTTTGGTAGGATGAGTGAAAAGGCCGAAACACATAGGTTCTATCCTTTATCCTAATTGGTAGTGGAAAAAATATATACCTGGACAATTAATTCCTGGTGAGGTGCTTTAATTTCAAATCCAACAAAAGCAGGCTGTGGGCCATGGGAGACGCACACTAATCTTTTTAAGGTACAGTTAAGCTTATAGTGAACCTACATGGGCAATAGCACAGTCATCTTCTGCAAGGTTGGAATGGAAATGGTGGAGTACATTTTATGAATCTCAAATGCAAAGTGTAGTTGTGTGCCAACTAAATCTTTCAATTTTATTTCATAGGGGAAAATACATAATATTTACTTTAACCACTTGCCCTCCAGAGGATTTACCCCCCCCCCCCTTTTCCTGACCAGGTCATTTTTTGTGATACGGGGCTGCATTACTTTAACCTCCCTAGCGATATGATTATTTCCGATTTTTGGTGCTGAAAGCGGTACCATTTTTTTGCATGGAAATATGTAGTTTTTTATTGTAGGCTGTAATATTTAGGAATGACTCACTGAAATCTGTCCGAACAAGAGTCTATTAAACATCCCGGGTATGATAAAATTTGAAACACAAAATCATAAATTATAATTTAATAAATAATCATAAAAAATAATAATATAATAATATTACATTTAATTCAATAATATAATCAAACCAAAAACACTGAAATTTGAAATCTAGCGCCAAGTTCGCACATTGCTGAGCAAAGTCGCAAAATTGTTTTCAGTGTCTGATGACGTATTTCTCCACGAATCATTATCACTCAATTCTGCAAGTGGTTCTGATTTACTATCGCTGTTCTCTAGCTGGTCTAAAACCGCTTTTGACTTAAAGGGACACTTTTTCGGACGCCATGGACTTTTCTAAGTTTCCAGGCAGAAAGAACATTCAAAATGCAGACAGGGGACAGGACAGAGCACTAGGGACAAAATGTATGTGAAATGGGTTGAAACAGCAATGTTTTACTATGTAAAATCGTTTTGAAAAAAATGACATTTTTTTTAAATTTTCAAATTTCCCAACGCCGCCCGTACGTCCCGACGTCCCAGGGACCGGAACACAGGAGCCGGATGCCGGCATCAGCCGGAGGAGATGGCCGGGGACGCTGCAGGGGACACATCGCGGGAGCGAAGGACAAGGTAAGTGCTGCAGGGACTCCCTATGCAGCGCCGCATGGTAAGCCCGAGTGTAGCTCAGGGTTACCGCTTTTGGTACTGACATTTTACCCTGAGCTACACTCGGGAATACCGTTAGGGAGGTTAACTGACAATTGCGCGGTTATGCAACACTGCCAAATTAAATTTGCATTCTTTTTTTTACCACAAAGCTCTCTCTCGGTGGGATTTGATCACCTCTGCGGTTTTTATTTTTTGCACTATAAACAAAAAAAGACCGACAATTTTGAAAAAAAAAAAACTTTTTGAAAAAAAAAAAAAATCTAAATTTGGTCATAAGTTTAGGCCAAAATGTATTCTGCTACATGTCTTTGCTAAAACAAATCCCAATACGTGTAAATGAATTGGTTTACGTGAAAGTTATAGCATCTACAAATGGTGGTATATATACTGGAATTTATTTATTTATTACTAGCTATGGCGGCGATCAGCGAATTATAGCAGGACTGTGGCGGGCATTGTGACACGGGGGGAACTGACTTGGTGTCACTGACATCCCCAGTGACACCAATACAGTGATTAGTGCTAATAAAAAGCACTGATACTGTGCTAATGGCACTGGGCAAGAAGAGGTTAACATGTGGGGCGATCAAAGGGTTAACTGTGTGCTGTTTTACTGTGTGCTTTACACTGTAAGCACACTGCTTTGTAGCAAAGCAGTGTGCAGGAGCTGACAAGGGGAGAGATCTATGTTGTTTATACACAGGTCTCTCCCCCTCGGTGTTACGCGGCGATCGCCGGGTGCCGGAGGGGAATCACCCGGGTGCGACGCCAGGTGCCGAGGCTGCAACTGGCGGCACAGGTAGGGTGCGCGTGCCCCCTACCCGGAACTTCAAAATCACATATATATACACTTGATTATGCGCACACTCATGCCACCCTGTAGCAGTATTTCTGTTATAGGGAGGTGCGGAAGTGGTTAATGACACCACATAGTTACACAGCTTGGCTGAAAAAAAAAATCACAACTCCATCTAGTTCAACGTTAAAAGAAAAAAAAATGTTATATCCCATACACACAGTTGATCCAGAGGAAGGCAAAAAATCCCCAGCAATGCATGACCCAATTTGCTCCTGCAGGGGAAAAAATTCCTTCCTGATCCCCCAAGAAGCAATCGGATATTCCCTGGATCAACTTAACTTATAAATGTTAGTATCCAGTTATATTCTGTGAAGATGACTGTGCTATTGCCCATGTATTATTTCTAGGAAATAATCAAGGCCTTTTTTAAAGTGATCTACTGAGCTGGCCAGAACCAACTCTTGAGGGAGTCTATTCCACATTTTCACAGGTCTTATTGTGAAGAAACCTTTCCGAATTTGGAGATTAAATCTATTTTGCTTCAAACGTAAAGAGTGCCTCCTTTTCCTCTCTGATGACCTTGAGGTGAATAACTCTACACCGAGTTCACTATATGGATCACTTATGTATTTATACATGTTGATCATATCCTCCCCTTAATTTCCTCTTCTCAAGAGAGAATACATTAATTTCAGCTAATCTTTCCTCATAGCTGAGCTCCTCCATGCCTCTTATCAGTTTTGTTGCCCTTCTCTGCACTTTCCAGTTCCCCATTATCCTTTGTGAATTGGTGCCCAAAACTGAACTGCATATTCCAGATGAGGTATTACTAATTTGTACAGTGGTAATATGATATCTCTCTCTCTCTATACCTCTTATAATACAAGAAAGGATTTTGCTTGCTTTAGAAACCAGAGCTTGGAATTGCATGCCATTATTAAGCTTGTGATCTACCAGAACCCCCAGATCCTTCTCCACCATTGATTACCTCAATTGTAACCCCTCTAGTATTTATGATGCATGCATATTCTTATCCCCCCAAGTACATAACATTACATTTATCAACAATAAACCTCATTTGCCACATAGCTGCCCAATTAAACATGCAAACGTGCAATGAGGTCGGCTTGCAAATTGGAGATATCCTGTAAAGTCGTTATTCCACTGCACAGCTTGGTATCATCTGAAAAAACTGAAATGTTACTTTTAATCCCAGACCCCATATAATTTATAAACATATTAAAAGTAAAGTTCTCAACACTGAACTTGGGGTACATGTGGGGTACATCACATCACTAACAACCCTAGACATTTCAGAGTATGAATCAATGACCTCTACTCTCTGAGTTCAGTCTTTTAGCCAGTTTTCTGTACATTTATCAACTGTTTTTTCCAAGTATATATACAGTTGTGTTCAAAATAATAGCAGTCAGACATCACTAACCTGATCAATCACTGTTTTTGGTAGAAATGATATTTCTACATGGCAAATAATTTACTAGCAGGTGTAGTAGAGTAATAGAAATCCAACAGACCCAACAGTCATAACATGCATGCTGCTGATTCTGTGTAATTGAATCATTAATTGAAAGGGGCATGTTCAAAATAATAGCAGTGTGGAGTTCTATTAGTGAGGTCATTCATTCTTTGAAAAACAGGTGGCAATTATTGCCCTTATTTAAGGAAGGAAGGTCGCAAATGTTGTACATGCTGGTTCCAGTGCATTTCTCTCTGAAATTCTGAGGAAAATGGGTCGTTCCAGACATTGTTCAGAAGAACAGCGTACCTTGAATAAAAAGTTGATTGGAGAGGGGAAAACATATAAAGAAGTGCATAAAATGATAGGCTGCTCAGCTAAAATGATCTCAAATGCTTTAAAATGGCAACCAAAACCTGAAAGACATGGAAGAAAGCAAAAAACTACCATTCGAATGGATAGAAGAATAGCCAAAATGGCAAGGACTCAGCCAACAATCAGCTCCAGGAAGATCAAAGAAGGTCTAAAGTTACCTGTGAGTACTGTTACAATTAGAAGACGCTTATGTGAAGCCAAGCTATCTGCAAGAAGCCCCCGCAAAGTCCCACTGTTGAAAAAAAGACATGCTGAAGAGGTTACAATTCGCCAAAGAGCACATTGACTGGCCTAAAGAGAAATGGCGCAACATTTTGTGGACTGATGAAAGTAAGATTGTTCTTTTTGGGTCTAGTGGCCGGAGACAGTTTGTCAGATGACCCCCAAACACTTAATTCAAGCCACAGTACACTGTGAAGACAGTGAAGCATGGTTGCGCAAGCATCATGATATGGGGATGTTTCTCATACTACGGTGTTGGGCCTATTTATCGCATACCAGGGATCATGGATCAGTTTGAATACATCAGAATACTTGAAGAGGTCATGCTGCCTTATGCTGAAGAGGAAATGCCCTTGAAATGGGTGTTCCAACAAGACAACGACCCCAAACACACCAGTAATCGTGCAACATCTTGGTTCCAGACCAACAAGATTGACGTTATGGAGTGGCCAGCCCAATCCCCGGATCTTAATCCAATAGAAACTTGTGGGGTGACATCAAAAATGCAGTTTCTGAGGCAAAACCAAGAAATAGAGAAGAACTGTAGAATGTAGTCCAATCATCCTGGGCTGGAATACCTGTTCACAGGTGCCAGAAGTTGGTTGACTCCATGCAACACAGATGTACAGCAGTTCTCAGAAACAGTGCTTATACAACAAAATATTCATTAAGTGATTCAAAGGAAAGCAAAATCTTCAAACATTTTTCAGTTTATATAGTGAATGTTTGAGTTTGTAAAGAAGAACACTGCTATTTTTTTGAACAGTTGAATATTTACTTCTTCAATTTTTTTTAGAGGAACAACACAAATTTGATATATTTTTCTTCATGTCATGTTTTGATTTGGAATAGAATGTGCAGTGTTCCCAATACATTTGTGTGTATGGAAATAAAAGCTATTAGAAAGATTTTGAGCTTTATTCACTTTTTTTCAACACACTGCTATTATTTTGAACACAACTGTGTGTATATATATATATATATATATATATATATATATATACACCTATCTAACAGATTGGAAAACCTATAGTTCCACATGAGAAAATCACATACAAACATATAAATGAACACTTTACCTCATTAGTCCTGCTTCCTGCATTCTTTTGTTCTTTTAATTGCTAAAAAGTAAACGTAGAAAGAAACATAATGATTTCTAGCTCCAGAACAGTCTAGAGAAAAACAGACTTGGGTATGATTTATGAAGAATTCACATAACCACTTATCCAGTGAAAGTGTACGTACATTTGCTCTGTCAGAATGGGAATAAAAATGTATGTAAAAAGACTATATCCTGTGCTGGTTGAATGTAAATAATTGATTTTAAATGGAAAAAAAAATTAATTTAGCCAATAGATAGAGCTAAGTATTATGGGGAATTCCTATTCTACTTAGCTCCATCTATCAATGATTTATACTCTAACAGCAGTCTATTTACAGTCAGACAAAATTAATGCACTTTCATTAAACAAATGGAAATGCAAACTCTCTATAAATCAACTCCTCAGTAGTAGGGAAGCAGACATTACTTATTTTATTTTCTTCACAAATTATAGTAGGGCAGGTAGCTTTCAAATAAACCCTTTATCTTCTGGTTACCAGCACCTCCAATGGTTTTGCAGGAATTCTCCATCACAAATCTGCTAATTGAAGCAAGACTCATGTTCTTATAAAGTAATGCTGTCATATCAGCATCAGTCCTGTAGGTAATTTACTACTTATGCCAATTTAGTTTCTTGTATGCAGGATGTTCCTGCTCTGTTTTTAGTTTCCTTTACTAGTTCTTGTTTTTTTTTTTCCTTTATTTGTCCATTCTAATTCTCAGACAGTGCATCTCAGCATTACGTATAACGTCCTACTTAATTTCTAATATGCTACGCTGTACCTTTGTATGATATGTGGCACTTTCTCTGTATTGCAATGCTACTTTTGGACTTCCTGTGCAATGGTTATACAGTTTTTGACTGAACAATTGTCTGACTTGTATTTTTCAATAAAATTCAGTTTAGAAAAAAAAGTAATTTACTACAGTCTTACATTTCTATAGGATGAAACATTTACATGTGAATTAACCATTTACATTTGAAACAACTAGATCTCTTTAACCAGATATCTGCAGTGAGAGCCAATGCTTTAACTGGGATGTGACGCAAGAGGCCAGTGGGAGGGGATCCGGTATTTACTGCACAGTGCCAGTGTCATCAGAAGCTTGTCCCACTGGCTCCTGAACATTGTAGCTGACCATGAGCTGTCGGTGACAGCTCAGTCACAGTTCTGGGAGTGCCAGTGAAGCACGTCTCAGAGCAAGACAGTGTTGCATATATAAAAGGATTGTGCGTTAAAGAACACCAGCCCTGCTGCCGAATATATAGGTGTATTTCTGTAGTAAAGGGGTTAAAGTCAATATTAACGTACCAGGTGTCTGAACTCAGCTGCTAAACTTCCATTTGTGGATTCTTCCATATTCATTACTTTTTGTGTTTGTACCTAATATATTAAATTTCCGGAACCTACCAGTAAACAAAATTAAGGCGGAAATTAAGGAATTGCATTCACAAATGCAAATCATTAACTCTTTACAAATTCATACTGCTTCTAAATGAAATTAAACAAGATTTGTAGTTATAAATATGGAAACAAACATAAAAGCATAAAAACATCACTTACCCTTTTACTGTATTCTTCTCATTGACATCTCTAAAGAGAAAATATAGAACAATATTTAAAAAAAGCAGGAAGCTAAACATTGCATTCAGATGCCGCAAGACGCTTTTCTTGCTGCTTTTGACCCCTATGTCCCTGAAACTGTACAAACATTCCCTCTTACTCCATCTGTTGAACGCGGAGAAGGCGTGTATCCCATTCTACTGAAAACAAACCGCACCCATGCTCATCAAAACTTGGTTTGCAAAGGTCAACGAAAACCAACTAATGGAGGACAGCATGGCTATAATAAACCACAGAGAGGATCGGGTCCGTAAAACATGGTTCTACTGGATGGAATTTACTTTTACTGCTAAATACCGGGCTACCTTGGGTTCCCAAAAGTGAAACTCGGGCCGCTCCCTTCAGTGTGTCACCATAGATCCTATCAGACTCTACTATGCCAGGCTCCCTGGGGCAGCGCACTCGCTCCTCCCCCCTCCGCCCTTCTTTCCTCCCCATCCCCCCCCCTTTCCCCCTTTTATTTTGTGCTGCTATAGTTCTCGTTCAGATTTTCTTATCTCTCTTGAAAAGATTATGTTACACGGGATATTAGTTTAACTCTGTCAGAGGTCTTTGGGCTGCGACAGCGAACCTGATTATGCCTCAATGGCCCATTTGTGATATATTTATTTTGTCTCGTGTCTCTTACCCCTAGCTTATGCTAGTTTGTTGTCAAGGGAGCCTGTATGACATGCAAAATTGATAAATAAAGAATTAAAGAAAAAAAAAAAAACGGGAAGCTTTAAAATAATGATACGTTCACCTTTTAGACAAAAATAATAAATGCACTTTGTGCAGGTGAAAAAATGTGCGTTTATTATTGTCTACAGGAGCCTAGATCGCTGGTGCCATGCAGGTCTCCTGCAGACCTGTCAGATTATCTGCTTGCCATACGGGATGTATGAGCAAGCAGATATTCTGGGAGGAAGTTTCAATGAACTACCGCGCCATGGTAGTTCATTGAAAACTAAAAGCCGACATTCGCTAAGGCTGTTGGGACTTGCAGTTCATTCATTCACAGATTTTATTTTGATTTAAAATATTGTTTCTTATTGTTTTGTTATTTATTTTCTTGTTATACTTTTGCCTGTATTTAAGCGCAACCTATTTTTTTGCTTTACAAATGCTAATGATATCAATAGTAGCCTTAATGCCGCATGTGCATTAATGCACCGCATTAAGTATAGCATTTTTTACCTTTGTAAAGTGAATGTACATTCAGCTTAGAGAATATACAGTTGCAAGAAAAAGTATGTGGGATTACGTGGAGTTTTGCATGAATTGGGCATAAAATGTGCTCTGAACGTCATCTAAGTCACAACAATAGAAGAACACAGTCTGCTGAACATAATACTACACAAACATTAGATGTTGCCATGGTTTAATTGCACATAACATGTAAACATTCACAGTGCAGGGAGGAAAAAGTATGTGAGGCCCTAGCTTAATGACTTCTCCGAGAGCTAATTGGAGCCTGGAGTGAGCCAACCTTTACTCCAATCAGTGTGATGATATCGGATGTGTTGCTGACAGCTGTCCTGCCCTTAAAAAACACACACCTCTTTTGGGTTTACTGGTTTCAAGGAGCACTGTCTGATGTGAACCATGCCTCGCAGAAAAGAGCTCTCAGAAGACCTACGATCAAGAATTGTTGACTTGCATGAAGCTGGAAAGGGTTACAAAAGTATCTCCAAATGCCTTGATGTTCATGTGTCCACGGTAAGACAGACTGTCTACAAATGGAGAAAGTTTAGCACTGTTGCTACTCTCCCTAGGCGTGGTCGTCCTGTAAAAATGACTGCAAAAGCACAGCGCAGAATGCTGCATGAGGTAAAGAAGGATCCCAGAGTGTCAGCTAAAGACCTACAGAAATCTCTGGCACATGCTAACATTTTTGTTGACACATCTACAATAAGTAAAACATTAAACAAGAATGGAGTACATGGGAGGACACCACGGAAGAAGCCATTGCTGTCCAAAAAGAATATTGCAGCACGTTTGAAGTTTGCAAAAGAGCACCTGGATGTTCCACAGCACTACTGGCAAAATATACTGTGGACAGATGAAACCAAGATTGAGTTGTTTGGGAAGAACACACAACACTATGTGTGGAGAAAAAAAGGCACAGCACACCAACATCAAAACCTCATCCCCACTGTAAAACATGGTGGAGGGAGTATCGTGGTTTGGGGCTGCTTTGCTGCCTCAGGGCCTGGACGGATTGTTGTCATTGATGGGAAAATGAATTCCAGAGTTTATCAAGACACAGGAAAACGTACGACCATCTGTCCGCCAACTGAAGCTCTGCAGAGGATGGGTGATGCAACAGGACAATGACCCAAAGCATACAAGTAATTCAACAAAACAATGGCTGCAACAGCACAGAATACGCCTTCTGGAGTGGCCCAGTCAGTGTCCTGACCTCAACCCGATTAAAATGCTGTGGCATGACCTTAAGAGAGCGATTCACACCAGACATCCCAAGAATATTGCTACACTGAAACAGTTTTGTGAAGAGGAGTGGTCCAAAATTACTCCAGATCGTTGTGCAGGTCTGATCTGCAACTACAGGAAACGTTTGGTTGAGGTTTTTGCTGCCAAAGGAGGGTCAACCAGTTATTAAGTCCAAAGGTTCACATACTTTTTCCTCCCTGCACTGTGAATGTTTACATGTTATGTGCAATTAAACCATGGCAACATCTAACGTTCAGAGCACATTTTATGCCCAATTCATGCAAAACTCCACGTAATCCCAAGGGGTTCACATACTTTTTCTTGCAACTGTAGTTGAGAGATGCGACCAAAAATCTTAATTGTGCTATTTTCTTGAATTTCATTAAAGATGAATGCTGGGTACAAAAAAAATATTTCATTTATATACATTTCTCTATAGCCACAAAGGATACAAATCCACTTTGCGTAAACCCAGCTTTTACACTGTAAAGTAGCAGTCACATCATCCCTGTGCTGTACATAGCCTGTTCAGAGAGCAGAGCTGTGGGAAGCGCACATCAGACTCCACCCACTACTGGCTGCCTGCAGAAAACTACAAGAGGGGCGGAGACAAGACCAGTCACCCTGCACAAGGAGACAGAGCAGCAGTCACTGGTCTTTGTTATAGGAAACTTCTGTAGAGGCAGCAGTGTCAAGAAAGAATACACGACTCTTGTATTCAGACATTATTTGCTAATCCTGGAGCTCAGCTTTAAGTACTCTTTAGAAAATCATCTCCTATATCAGCATTATTAAGAAAGTGTTTCCCTGTAAATTCAGTGGGTTGGAGAAAAACAATGCTAAAGAGAACTACCTGACAAGCATACTTTACAGGATGCATTTTGGAATGCTCTTAACTGCCAAGCAGACATAGGTCTCTCTCAAGAATACACAATCCCGAAATTCAAAACATATATTTAAGTAGTTAGCTCCCTATTTAATCCTCTACTTCTTTACCACCTGTATAGAATTTCAGAATTTCACAAAATAAGAAAAAAAAAAATTCAGCTCCACTGTACAACCAGTCTATTGGCTCAGGATTTTTTGCCAACTACCCCGAACTTATTTCATGACAAGGGGCGGACTGACAACTCATGGGGCCCCCAGGCAATAGGGGATTATGGGGCCCCTGTGTCCTTGCCCACACTCAAAGCACACCCAAAAAAGCCTATAAAAAGGTATCAGGGGCATTTCATGGGGCCCCCTACTGACCCCGGGCCCTCGGGCAGTGCCAGAGTGCTCAAATGGTCAGTCCGCTCCTGTTCATGACTTTAACTGAGCAAATGCTTTTTTTCTACTTTCCAAGCTCTTCTTTATGACCTAATCTCTTGATTTACATTAGAAGTATAGCCGAAATGTTTTTTAGCCACACTTCTCTTCTGGGTCACAGGAGTACACTTACTTGCTCTCCTGCGGCCCTGAATTAGCTGACAGTGTACTAAAGCCTGTTGTCAGCTGATGTCACAGAGCCACTCCATGCTCTGGAAGGATCCTGACCATATTGTCAGGATCCACCTAGACGCCTGTTTGGCAGCTGGCTCATCCTCTCAGCATGTTGTTGAGAGCCAGAGCCATCTACTCCTTTCCCCTCTCCTGCCAAGCGCTCCATTGATTGCTGGAGAGCCAGACAGTCACCGCTCTCCGCCTCGAGCTCTCTGAGAACTGAGCAATCAGCAGTCATGTGATGGCTCAGTTCCTGAGCTTGGAAATGGTGGGAGACAGCAGCAGCATCAGGTAGATGCTGCGGCATGCAGCTTATTATGTCTGTCTGGTTTTTTTTAAACCCCAAACTTTTCTTTTAATTATTACCAGTGTCATCTCTCACTTCATCTCCTTTTTACATAATGCCTTACATCCATTTTTTTTACTTTTACTAGGGTTATGCTTTCTTTATTCAAACACACTGGGAAGATTTACTAACGCTGGTTGACTCAGAATCTGGTGCACCTGTGTATGGTAACCAATCAGCTTCTAACCACAGCTTGTTGAATAAATCTTTGGCAATAGAACCTGGAAGCCGATTGGTTTCTATGCAGAAGTGCACCTGATTTTTCACTCTTCAGCTTTAGTAAATAAACCCCACTGTTACAATGTAACCAATAAAACTGGCTACTCACATATAATATTTTCACAAATTCCTGTTTAGATTCTACATGATATGATTTTTGAAGTAATCATTTTATGGAAATTGCCAGCATTAACATTGCCTAGGATGTGAAAAAAATACTCCAGTCTTCTTGTGGCTTGTGTAAATGAGTATATGTAGCTTGCTTTCATGTGCATTCTATTTGTATTGGAGAGCAGTTTGAGACACATCTGAGACCATTCAGAGTTCACTGACAGTTACTGACAGGACCTGCATTTGTTCTCCTAAGCTGCAATAACCTACTGCTTTTGCATTCTCACTGACTTGAATAGGGAGAGAAACAGTTCTGAAGTTAAAGTGATTGTAAAGCCACAAATAAACATGATATACTTACCGGCC